CTGAAATAGAAACTAACAGAGAATCTTCATCAGAAAATATATGGACAGTGTATAAAACAGTACTTAACGAATCTGCTGAAGCAACCCTTGGTCAAGCAACAAGACGTGCCAAGAAGCCCTGGATTAGTATTGAAGTTCTCTTTACTATCTGAAGAAAAGAGCAAATTAAGACAGGATAAAGGTACAATTTAAAAGCCAAGGAAGAAAGGTACAAGAATCTAAGATCAGAAATCCAAAGAAAGATAAGGATAAAGCATATTGGTTGGAAAAAAGATGTAAGGAAGTGAGAGATTTCAATATAGCTGGTAAAGCCATAGAAATGTACTCAGCTATCAAATCAGTCAAGACCGACCCCAGAGAAGCACAACAATCATGTATAAAAGCCAAGAACGGCATCATTTTAAATCAGAGGATAAAAACAATGGACCGCTGGAAAGAATATGGAACTGAGCTTTTCAAAAGACCAATTAATGAGTGTCCGCAAACAGAAGAGCTGGTCCCTATAATGGAACAAGAACCAGTGCTACTTCTTTCAGAAGTTGAACAAGCGGTGAAGAAGCTCAGAGCAGGGAAATCACCAGAAATTGATGGAATATCAGCCGAACTAGTGAAAGCTATTTCTCCACAAATTGTGTGCGACCATTTGGACTTCTTGCCATTGGCCAGATGAATGGAAGATACAGGAATTTGTTGTTCTGTTTAAAATCTGGGGATCAAAAACTGTGCCGAAACTACAGGACTATTGCCCTTATCAGTCACACCAGCAAAATCTTACTCGTGATAATTGTTAACAGAATGAAACAAAAGTTAGAACAAGAGCAACCAGAGGACCAGGCTGCCTACAGAAAAGGCAGAGGGACCAGAGACATGCTTGTATGTTTGCAAGTTTTACTTGAGAAGGTGATTGCCATGGATCAACAAGCTTTTATTATGTTCATAGACTATTCAAAGGCGTTTGATTCTGTGAGCCACAACAAACTATTCTCGATCTTCTTATACAGTGCGTCCCAGAAAAAACGAAACCGAGAATTATCGATGTTTTATCATAACTTAATCACATTTATAATTAATAAATGACACATATTTGAAAAGCTTAGATCCTCTTCTTTCATTTGATGCAACTCATTATGATGCATATTTCACGCATGAGTGATTAAAATCAATTTGAAGAGAGGAAACCGAAAAGTCGTTTGGCGGGCGGTATCTGAATTTCAAAGAGAAAATCACAATTCTAGAAAATTGAGTTCCTGCCCTTTCATATGACACCTCAATCAGGAAAAATGAGCAAGGAATGACAAAGATTTGTTTGTTTAAAGTAGCCCTTACATTTTTATAATTTTAGCAAACAAATTCGTTTTCACTGGCTGCCTGCCATAGCAAAAAACAGAATTGACAAAAGACTTAACTCCGTTTCGTTGACAATCAGCCATGCATGAAGTCTTTCGTCTACGGCTGATGTCAACGAAACGGAGTTATGTCTTTTGTTAATTTCTGATATTTCTGATCAGACACCATTCATAATGTGCATTGCAACACCCATTCACAACACACAATGGCCATCAGTTTTCTGTGATGGTTGGCACACTTCATAAACTTCTTTTTAAGAGCTACCTCTAAATATCTGCATACACCACAACATTCATTAAAAATTGTGTTTTTATATCAGAGCAAAATTTTACGATCAAAATTGCTTAAAGGTAAAGACCAGTTATGGTCATGCGATTGCATTGTGAAAGAAACGTTGTGGAATCGATCAGAAAAGGTTGATCATCTAGCATCTAGCATCTGCAAGGTTCTGGAATCATCAAAATGATAAGAAATTTGGCCCATTCTTCGTAAAGTTACAAGCACTATACACAGAAAGATGTATATGGGACTACCCTATATCTCTCACAGACCATGAGAGAAACAAATTTACCAAATATATGAATTAGTAGGCGGTTTCCCGGCAAATTTGTTATCATCATGTATTAGTCAAAACATATTCTTTCACATGATTGGTGATGAGAGCTTCCATTTCATTTTTTGAAATTGGGGCGTTTCCAATACTGGTCTTTACCTTTAACTTGGTTAATTTTGCCAATTTTCTCAGAGAAAGAACGCATTTTAGTCTTCGAGATGAATTGGATATATGAAGTAGTGTTGTTAAAGGCCACAGATGGCTCTATAACAATATTGAAGCCAACACGGACAGTGATGTGTTCAAGCTTGGTGGTCTCCAATAAACATGCAATAATTACAGCCAATTATTTACAACGTGCATGTGCCCCTCAATTTCATTAGAAGACCCCCCCCCCCTCCCCCACATACTGTCATTTTAGGCTACCATTTTAACTTCAATAATCCGATTAATTCCAATTTCAATTTTGGTGAGAATATATTTCAGATCCAGATGTAAGGAGTGATGACTACTGTATTGTCTACAATTAACATGCGTCATAAATAACCATGCCTCATAATATTTCCCCATCAGCTCCCCCCCTAAGATATGTATTCATGAGGGTAACTGAACAGGTAGCCTGTTATTATTATTATTATCATCAGCATATTTAATTAAATTGCGAGAGGTTTTCGTACTCGTGCAATTACTTGTGTACAACGAGAAATGAACATGAGATAAGACGAAACCTTGGGGGACACCTATATTGTTCATCATTTCATTTGAATGATGATTCCCAACTTTGACTGACTGGATTCTTGAACTGTGGAAATTATGGATACATGGAATAAGTGTCGGATTTATATTACAACAGGGGCTGAGGAGTGTCTTCCAAAGTGTGGGGGGGGGCACCAACATAGGGCGCTTTCTGGAGAAAGGAGCACCTACAAAGGGAAACCTCAAAGCGTAAATATATAATTTTTAGACATGGGTATATAAATATATGTGATTACTTTATGAGGGAGTATTTCAATATGTTTCTCTCTGTAGAGTCTGCATGCTTCAAGATACTGCTAAATCCCCCATCACACCAAACTAGTTCTCACTACGTTCTCGAAAATGTTGCAAAACGGGCTCAAACTGTGTGCGAACGGAGTGAACGTATGAGCAACTATTTACGATCTTTTAAGAACTTTATGGACGGACTCGGACTGGCTAGGACGGGAAGGGTGCTCAAGAACTTTGAGCCTGTTAAAAAAAAATTCCCGTCCTGCATTTAGACGGACTTAAAACGAGATAGACGTACTACGAACGGAATTGCCGTACTTCGATCCTACTAGAAACGTGTTACAACGTGATGTGGTCGAGCATCAATTAGGAAGAAAGCGCTGGGTTTGTATAGCCTTCGAACCAGGACGGGATTGCACAGCTCGATAGGAGTGCGTTCGGACGCACTAAGAACGAGATGAGGACGAGGTGAACTGCCTCTGAACGAGGTGGCCGGGTTATAAACAAGTTTCGAAGTAGTGAAAATGGTTTGGACTGCCTGGAAATGTATATAATTTACCCAATCTGAACTTGATATAAACTGTCTGTGGACGGGTACAGACGAGTTGGACGTACTGTGGGCTGTGAATGAACGAACTAGGATCGTATTAGAGACATTAGTCCAGTCCGAGCCCGCTCTTGAAGTCCTTAAATTAACAGATCGTTTTGAGGACCGTTTATGAACGAACTAGGATCGTATTATAGATATTTTTTACACATTCTGCCCCGACCACCACCCGTTTTACGATTTTCTAGGACGGTTTCAGAACGTAGTGAGAACTACTTTAGTGTGATGGGGGCTTAAAGTATCATACTTTGCAGGTTGGTGCGATGGTCTGAATAATAAATTTGCGAAGTTAAAAAAAATCGATTTGTGAGGTTGCAGTGTGAAATATTACATCTTATAAAAAGGGGGGAAATCCTGTTTGATTTTAAGCACAATGTAACCATGAAAGACTGAAACAACTTTACAAAGTATTAACATGTAATCAATTATGAATGCGAGCGAGCGTAGCGAGGCATTTATTTGAGAGGAAAAGGGGGAACGTGTCAGAATAAAAGGGGCGTCATTTAGATTTTAATAGGGGTAATTGTCAGAGGTGAAGGTGACATTTATTAGAAGGGGAAGGGACTCTTGATTAAAAGGAAAAGGAGGATCTCAAATAATTGAATACATAGGGGCAATTATCAGAGGTGAAGGAGCTAGGCATTCATGAAAAGAGGAAGTTCTTATATATATTTTTGTTAATGAGGCACTTATGACAAGGAAAAGGGGCACCTAAATTAAAAGAGGGGTAAGTGACAAATTGAAGGGGCACTTATCAAAGGTGTTAAAGAGAAGGTTGAGTTCTGGGAAGAGGTGAAAAATAATTTGTGAGCATTACTCATTCTTATTATGCAAGTATGGAAGAACATCAGTTAAGACATGTTCCCTGAAAAGCATGGCTCTTCAAATGCCTTCATATTCTAAATATGCATGTAACATCGTAAAAATCGGGGGCCGGCTTTTTACGCCACGTGTTCGTGTAGTCCCATAAACATCTTTCTGTGCAAGTGTTTACTTTACCAAGACTTGGCCAAATTTCTTATCATTTTGATGATTCCAGACCCTTGCAATACACACAAATTCCTGTATGCTAGATGATCAACCTTTTCTGGTCGGTTCCACACCGTTTCGTTCACAATGCAATCGCATGACCAGAACTCAACTTCATCTTTAAGGGCCACTCATTAAAAGAGGAGGGGGCATTTATCTGAAGTAAAATGGGCCACTACAAATCTATCAGATGTCGTCTGCTGTCCTGGTATAAAAGGGGCCAAAGCCCTCACGTAACTGCAATCACTCATGTAACCTCACTTAACCTCAACTACGACATCAAAGACATCCCCAAGATCATGATGGAAAAGAGCGAGTAGCGAATTAATGTACATATCGGCATGCGGCTGTCACATGATCGATAACACTTATCAAACCAAAGTTTAACTGCAGGAAATTTTCACTTTGTTCATGTTCATCAAACCGATAATTGCGAGCACAAACGGCGCATATTAATCGTGAGGCATAGAGATCGAATCACACATCGAGCTGAGCCACGCATTCATCAATCCTTTCTTCTACATTCTTTATCAACATGACGTTAGACATCCTGTGGTTCGGAGGCGAGACAGTCATCGTCATCGCAATCGTTCGACGTCTTGATGGCGTGTACTGATCTCGATGTTGACTCGTCACCGTCCAGATTACAGAGTCTCCATGATTCGAACTCCTGCAGAACTTCAAGTACTTGGCTTTAAAGACACGTCGAAATTTGGAATACGTCGTGACGTAAATGATGGGATTCAATGCGCTGTTGATCTCAACCATGAGAACCGTCGTTACGGCAGCTTTGTCCGGGAACATGTGCATGGTGTGACGTGCGTATATCAACTCAATGTTAAATGGCATGCAACATATGATGAAAGCTGCGACGACTACAAAGATCCGCAGGGCAACGCGTACGTCTGATTTTCGAACATTTCTGACGGCTCGATTCCTTTCTGTACGACAGTTTTCTGATGACGCCACGGCTGCCTCTTGATCAGCGATGCGCGAGCGCGCTCGATGCGCTATGATCGCAATCTTGAAACTGCAGCCACAGATCCCAAGCCCAGGTAGAAAAAAACAGAATATATTTACGCAATACGTATACGGCCAGGATAACTTATTGCCAGCTTCAAGGGTGCAGTGGTAGATATTTTCATCAAAGACGATGATTTGAGGTCGCGAGAGAATAAAACCGGCAGAAAAGGCAAATATGATGAGCCATAGCGATACCAGAGTTGCTATAGTTCTAGGCTTGCTGAAGATATCGTTGTAGTGGAATGGTCGGTCAATTTGAAGATAACGGTCAATCATAACAATGACGAGGGTATAGACTGACACGCAGTAGCACGTATACGACACCGTTACGACACTGAGACAGAGAGCTCGGTTAGTCCTTATCAGACAATCGCCGTTGAGGGAGCATGGTAGGCTGAAGGGTAGATAGATGAGGCCAGTGAGAAGATCTGCGATGGCCAGGTTGATCAAACAAAAACCTAGAGAAAAAATGAAATTAGATTAAAGTGTTCAATTTGCTATCGGCTCATGTTCAAGCAACCATGCGCAATGTGCTACCTTTTCTGGATGCAGATTATGTCGATTGATTTGAATTCTGCATTGTGTAATACGCAAGTTGCATACGAGGTGTTATTTCAATTGCGATATTGATAATTTATTTATTTAATTCATTTAGTTTTTTTCCTGTGTTTTTTCTTCAAAAATTACGTACTAAGTTTAGCATAATCATGATAATTTAGTCCATGGGTTGTACGGCCTTTTTAATTTATCTTGCATGTAATCAAAGCATTTAGTATGTAAAAATGTATATTCAAAGTGCCGTATCCAAGTTCTTGTAACCCTGTCCGCTAAAATTATTTGAGAAAAGAGAGTTTGTTACACGGATCGGGATTTGAATTGGATTAGATCTGAATTATGAATTGAATTGGTCAGAATCATAAATTGAATTTAATCTGAATTGTGAATTTAATTTAATCCGAATTATGAATTGAATTGAATTACTTAGTTTGAATTATGAATCGAATTTTATTCGCATGTTGCATGTTAAACTATCGCATTTTGTGTTATCTATGTTCAAGTCAAATGTACTATTCTATATCCATTTGTGTCTTATTGATGTTTATAATCCGTAATCTTGTACTGACATGCAAACGAAACAAATTTCCAATCATTGGACAATAAAATATAAATTTGAATTAGGTCAATGAAAGAGATAATACGGGTCAGTGCTTTCGTTTATATACCCAAAATATTGTTTACATTCGAATTTTTATACTAATTTGATGAGAAATAATGAAAGTATAGTATACATGGAAGAAATTAATCGGTAGAGATGAAAATGTAAGTGACTAAATGTCTACCTGTGTATTAGATCAGGCAGGAATACTTCAACAATACATCATTATGCATTCGACAAACGTCACGTTGTGTTCATATAATTCCAGTTCGTGTTTACTTAACGTATAATGCTGTCATGTAGTATATTTACATTTTTTCCTTCCCTTTTACATTGTGTCGCTTTCAATAAAGCGAGAATGTTGACGGGGGAAAATGGGGGGAAAATAAAAATGAAAACATAAGTAAGATGTAAAAGCCGAACAGCATTCGAAGTAAGCCTTCTTCTGTTCTTGTGGGATGAATATAAAGAGGGAAAAAAGTCACATTTACAAATTATGTCATTTACGTATGCACCAGCACAGAGTAATTATTCATCAGTGATGCTGGTTTTAATGTTGAGTGACAAAAAAAGACACGTGTTAATTTGCATCGCATTAACAACCATGACAATAACAGACATTGTGGCCCGCAGGGGCGTACGCAGGGGGGGGGGGGGGGGGGGGTTTGGGGGTTCAAACCCCCCCCCCCTTTGGTATTTTTATGTGTGTAAACCCCCCTAAAAAAAACCGAAACCCCCCCCCCCCCTCCCCCCCCCCTTTGGGTTTTTTTTTTTTTAATTATTAAAAAAAAAAAAAAAAAAAAAAAAAATTATACCCGCGGTTAACCTAAAAAGGTGACCTTATCCCCCCCCCCCCAACGAAGAAAAATGTCAAATTTTGAAATTTCGAGACCAAAAAAAAAAAAAAAGTGTCCGCTTGCCCCCCCCCCCCCCCCCCCCCCCCCCCCCCCCCCCCCCCCCCCCCCCCCCCCCCCCCCCCCCACTCAGCGACTTTTCGGCTGGCTGAGTCGTTGCGATTTTTTTTGGACTTCTAAAAAAAAAAAAAAGTGTCCGCTTAATAATATTGTGCGTGCTGAATTCAATTTACAGTTTCCTGCTATTACTGTTCTCATGTAGATGAATTAAGTTGGAGTTATAATTCCAATAGTTTTCCTCTGAAATTGTGTCGATTTCTGAGAGAATTTTTTTTTAAGTATGCCACAATGGAAAATAAGACAATGTTAGTCCGTTCTTGTATAAAGCGCATAACACATTTTGATATAAAGTCTGTATGCGCTTCCAAAGAGCGTTGGAAATTATTACCCTATAGCTTTAGATCTGGCAGCCGTTATCAGCGCACAGTGCATTTCAAGGATCCTACCAGGTACCCATTTACCTCGCCTGGGTTGAGTGTAGCAAATGTAAATTGATGTCTATGTCTTGCCAAGGGATGTTCTCGGCGGCCATGGCAACCCTGTTTGCCTGAAACGTACGTAGTGCGACGTAGGATTTTGGTCATTTTTTCTCTGTATTCAAGTTTTGTTAGGTCTTGCCAAGTTTTCTCACGGTCTATCACGTAAAGCTACAGTCCCATATACGTCCCGGACCGTCCCGGACCATCCCGGACCCCATCCGGGTGATCCGGGATTCGGTCCGTGTTGACACCGTGTTGGCACCGGGGTGGTCCTGGATGGTCCTGGATGGTCCTGGATGGTCCTGGATGGTCCTGGGCGGTCCGGGAGTCGACCCCGGATGTTTTTGACGGTCAAAAACTGCCGGGGTGGTCCGGGACGGTCCGGGACAATAGTTTGATCCGGGGTGATCCGTGTAGCCACCGTGCTGGGTCCGGGGTCATCCGTAGTGGCGCCGGGGCGGTCCGTGTTGATCCGTGGCAGTCCGGGAGTGAGTTATTGACCGCCCAGGACCATCCAGGACCATCCAGGACCACCCCGGTGCCAACACGGTGTCAACACGGACCGAATCCCGGATCACCCCGGATGGGGTCCGGGATGGTCCGGGACGGTCCGGGACGTATAAAAGCTACAGAGCTTTTAAAGCATCACACCTTTTTTAACAAAACATCCCGGACCATCCCGGATCACCCCAGACCATGGTCCGGGATGGTCCGGAGTGGTCCGTGCTCGTCCGTGCTTGTCCGGCCTTATATGGGACTGGGGCTAAGCTACAGTCCCATATACGTCCCGGAACGTCCCGGACCATCCCGGACCCCATCCGGGGTGATCCGGGATTCGGTCCGTGTTGACACCGTGTTGGCACCGGGGTGGTCCTGGATGGTCCTGGATGGTCCTGGGCGGTCCGGGAGTCGACCCCGGATGTTTTTGACGGTCAAAAACTGCCGGGGTGGTCCGGGACGGTCCGGGACAATAGTTTGATCCGGGGTGATCCGTGTAGCCACCGTGCTGGGTCCGGGGTTATCCGTAGTGGCGCCGGGGCGGTCCGTGTTGATCCGTGGCAGTCCGGGAGTGAGTTATTGACCGCCCAGGACCATCCAGGACCATCCAGGACCACCCCGGTGCCAACACGGTGTCAACACGGACCGAATCCCGGATCACCCCGGATGGGGTCCGGGATGGTCCGGGACGGTCCGGGACGTATATGGGACTGTAGCTTAAGCCCCAGTCCCATATAAAGCCGGACCAGCACGGACGAGCACGGACCACTCCGGACCATCCCGGACCATGGTCTGGGGTGATCCGGGATGGTCCGGGATGTTTTGTTCAAAAAAAGTGTGATGCTTTTAAGCTACAGTCCCATATATCGTCGGCCTTATGCCAAAAGGGCCTTAACCCGATTTTGGGGGTTATTGAGTTATTAACATCACCTTGTAGATTTCACCATTCTCTTTAAAATGATGTGCTTCACTTGTTGAAATTCGATTTATTTATGAAGATAATTATGAATTTCAAAAGGGCCTTAACGCGTATCTCATCTTTTTCCTTACGCCAAAAGGGCCTTAACCTACACGGATGATCCATTTGCGTTAGGAGGGCCTTTCTGGCAAACCAAAGGTGTTGCGAAACAAGAAAATTTCCTTATGCCAAAAGGGCGCTAACTATGCGCGCGTACGCGCGCATAGTTACGCGCATAGTTACGCGTACGATAACGGCAGGTTAAGGCCCTTTTGGCATAACGCCGCGTAGGTTACGCCCCTTTTGGCATAATGCCGAGTAGGTTACGGCCCTTCTGGCATAAATACGCTACATTCAAGCCTTATGCCAAAAAGGCCCTAACATGTTTTTTGCACATAGCATGTACAATTCTGAATATTTTATAACAAATTTAACACATTTCATGTAAAACTTAATAACTTAACATATTTATCGAAATTGGCTTCAAAAGCAAAAAAACGACCACAAACTTTTGATTATTAGAGAGGCCAAAACCTTTAAACGCGATTATCTTGGAATGGCCAAAAGCAGTTAAGGCCCTTTTGGCATAAAGCCCCAGTCCCATATAAAGCCGGACCAGCACGGACGAGCACGGACCACTCCGGACCATCCCGGACCATGGTCTGGGGTGATCCGGGATGGTCCGGGATGTTTTGTTCAAAAAAAGTGTGATGCTTTTAAGCTACAGTCCCATATACGTCCCGGACCGTCCCGGACCATCCCGGACCCCATCCGGGGTGATCCGGGATTCGGTCCGTGTTGACACCGTGTTGGCACCGGGGTGGTCCTGGATGGTCCTGGATGGTCCTGGATGGTCCTGGATGGTCCTGGGCGGTCAATAACTCACTCCCGGACTGCCACGGATCAACACGGACCGCCCCGGCGCCACTACGGATGACCCCGGACCCAGCACGGTGGCTACACGGATCACCCCGGATCAAACTATTGTCCCGGACCGTCCCGGACCACCCCGGCAGTTTTTGACCGTCAAAAACATCCGGGGTCGACTCCCGGACCGCCCAGGACCATCCAGGACCACCCAGGACCATCCAGGACCATCCAGGACCACCCCGGTGCCAACACGGTGTCAACACGGACCGAATCCCGGATCACCCCGGATGGGGTCCGGGATGGTCCGGGACGGTCCGGGACGTATATGGGACTGTAGCTTTAGGCCGACGATATGTCCCGGACCGTCCCGGACCATCCCGGACCCCATCCGGGGTGATCCGGGATTCGGTCCGTGTTGACACCGTGTTGGCACCGGGGTGGTCCTGGATGGTCCTGGATGGTCCTGGATGGTCCTGGATGGTCCTGGGCGGTCAATAACTCACTCCCGGACTGCCACGGATCAACACGGACCGCCCCGGCGCCACTACGGATGACCCCGGACCCAGCACGGTGGCTACACGGATCACCCCGGATCAAACTATTGTCCCGGACCGTCCCGGACCACCCCGGCAGTTTTTGACCGTCAAAAACATCCGGGGTCGACTCCCGGACCGCCCAGGACCATCCAGGACCATCCAGGACCATCCAGGACCATCCAGGACCACCCCGGTGCCAACACGGTGTCAACACGGACCGAATCCCGGATCACCCCGGATGGGGTCCGGGATGGTCCGGGACGGTCCGGGACGTATATGGGACTGTAGCTTTAAAAGCATCACACTTTTTTGAACAAAACATCCCGGACCATCCCGGATCACCCCAGACCATGGTCCAGGATGGTCCGGAGTGGTCCGTGCTCGTCCGTGCTGGTCCGGCTTTATATGGGACTGGGGCTTACAGGTCCGTGGAAGGGAAAGGGGGCTGCCACTATGAACATCACTGACAAAGAAAGCGGACAAAATATACAGTTCCTCAGGTAGACAAAGGAACATCCCTTCACTGCTATTATGTAAAAAAGTGAATACGCATGTGACCAGGGATATGTGAGTTTAACTGATGTGACACCTGTTCTACACATTTTTACATAATAGCAGTGAAGGGATGTTCCATTGTCTATCTGAGGAACTGTATATTTTGTCCGCTTTCTTTGTCAGTCATGTTCATAGTGTGCTATCCCGGAGGCTCCAATTCGCACCACGGTCCGGCCTAAGGTCTTCCACATTATGCCTGTACGTTCCCTCCCGGCCCGTCACGTTCTGATGGGGTGCCTCATGTTTCTCACGTTCTAATCAAGGTCTAACACGTTTTTCACATTCTGTCAAGGCTTCCTACGGATGAAATTTGGACGCCGAGCAGCTTTGGAGCACGTACGGTTGTGCCCACGGTATAAAAAAAATCCTCCCAAGCAATAGCAATCACGCGCGCGCCATGTCAGACCGTATAGTAGTAGTATAATGCAACGCACCGCAGCGCGCCGGGCCGTAAACCGTCCCACTATACGGACCACCTCCAAGATTTTTGTACGGCGGGACTCGAAACGCAGACCTTGTGATCCACAGTCCAGTGACATATCCACGACACCTCTACAATGTGGGGGAGGGGGCAATATTCTGCCCATCGCTGGCACAATATATTCTGTTGCCAAATTATTACGGGCATATAACTTAATTTCGTTCAAGATTTCAAATGTGGTCTAAATCTTTTTCATATGGAACGATTGAAAGGATTTCTCCACAAATTCGTTAACGTTTTTAACAATTTTGTACTTCCGATAAAAAAAAATGGTTGCGGGGCTGAATTGTGCCTAATCATGACGCAAATTAATTTGTTTCGTGTAATTGTGGCTTCTTCGACTTCGATCCTTTTGTCAACAGGAATGAACGTTGATCTTGGCAACCAAAAAATTAGGAGAATTTCGATAAGCGACGTTTTATAATATTGTTATGCATTTGTTTTTTTCGCTGCCATTATCAAACTAACAAATAGACAATCAGTGGCGGATCCAGGGTGGGGGCACGGGGAGCCCGGCACCCCACCCCTGGAAAAAAGTAGTAAAAACAAAGATGGTAACCACAATTTAACCTTAAAACAAAGAAAAAGAAGACGAGCCTCGACCCCTGGCAAATAAAGTTTTTTTTTTAAAGATGGTAACCACAATTTTACCCTTTTTTTATTTTTTTGCTCAAGAAGGGGGGGGGGGGGGGTGTTGACTGTATACAGTCCACAGCAGTGTAATACGCCAATCTCTAAAATGCGGGTTAAAAACAGTTATATCTCAAATTAAGATAATAAATAAGAATCGATAAAAACAACACTGCTATCATTTGGTCATTGACCGAATAGGCCTGAATATAATTATTTCAATATTTATGACGCCGCTTAAAGTTAAAAAAAAGGTTGGGTTCCAGTAAAGGTAAAACGTAAGTGTGCTTTCCCCTTGAATTTATGTCAGTTTGGAAGAATAGTTAATACTACTAAAAAATACGCTTCAAATGCCCTCATATTCGAAAAAACATTAAAAGAGAAATAGGTGATAGGTAAGGACCAGTGCAAACTTCCGTGCCACATGAGTTTTTTGTTCCATATAATTTCTGTTTGCGGCACATGTCACTTTAACAAAGATTGAGTCAATTCCTTATCATTTATTAAATCAACCTTTCCCAATGGCTTCTGAAGAGCTTCTTTCACAGTGTAATCACGTGACCAGTACTTGCGTTTTTATCTGTATCAAGTTAACCCATTGGGGTGAAGGGGGCTGAAACTGGGCGCACCCGAACCGTCCAAGCTTCTCTTTCTTTCTTTTTTTTTTTTGGGGGGGGGGGAGACATTCTGGGGATCCATCTCGATTGGATTTTCGACAAATTTAGGAATGAAATGTAGCTATCTTCATATATGCCCCCTCCCAAAAACAAACATAACTTCTCCTCATAATATTTCTGATATTTCCAAGAAAAAGTTTTGAATTTTTTGAAAAAAGAAGACTTTGTATTTCTCGTTTCATATTTTGGATTTCAGCTTCTTCTTTTTTTTTATAGCATGATTTAAATACAAAAGCCATTTAAGTATATTAAAGGTAAAGCAAAGTTTTGGGAAATTTTGAAAATTGGATGGATAGTAATTCTATAACATTTTGATATAGGCCTATTTGGATGCCCCTGTGGATGTATTATAAGCACCAAAAAATTATCCCCTAAAACACTTCTGCATTCGAGAAATTGAATAATCAAAAATTGACCGGTGCTCCCGGTAAATTTCAAATATTTCAAATAGGCCTAGCCGTTAGTTGATAAACGACTCCGCATATGGACGTTAAGTGGAGCAGAAAGCATTGGCTCATTTAGCAGAATGTCGGTACGGCCATTCCATGGTAGTTGCGACCATGAAAATCTCAGAATATGCAGTTCTGATATATAATGTCCAAACGACATTATGTGACTCACATTTTTTGTCTTCAAATTGTTGCTCTCTAAAGAACAATCATTTTTTTTTTTTTTTTTTTTTTTTTTTTTTTTGGGGGGGGGGGTTAGCGCGTGAGGGGGGGGGGGGGGGCTTTAGCCTCAAAGCCCCCCCCCCCCCTCGGACACGAAGTGCACGGGGTTCTAAATATGTATTGCTTACCAGTTTGGTTGCAGAGTTTAGGCGTGCTCGAGAAGACGAGGATGGTGATGCTGTTGCCAATGACAATGAGAAAAACGAGGAGCAAGGTGAAGGAGAAGACAACATAGTTTGTTTCCAGAGGACCGTCCTCATCTTGAGGGATGGTAACGTGTCCTTCTTGTGCGTGGTCAGGGAACATCTCTTAAACGTCGAGATATAGCCTTCTTTTCTGACAAAAACAAACAACATAATACTATAAAACAAATGAAGAAAACGATACAGTATAATAGTGAGCAATTCTTTAAAATTAATAACCCCTTTTTTTATTCATTTAGAGCCAACAATACCATGCCCTATACCAAGAGTAATAAATCAAATTGTGAAATACAGTTTTCTGCCCAGAAATATTCTAGTTTATATCAAAATCTTTAAACAATTAACTTGCCGAAATTTGACTAGTTGATATAGCTTGAGCAATGTCGATTATCTCAAGCAATATAGATTCGCATTAATCCCAAGACTTTGAAAATGATCCACACGCTTCACATAACCATACAAAATATGGTTTACATGGCATATGCTTTTATCAAATAAATCACTATCAAAAATCACCTTACCTTTTATACATATATTATTATTATTATCAAATATCACTGGATTCACTTCACTTTCCAAGTTTCTATATTTTCCCATATCCTGCCAAGCCTTCAGCATTTCTACATACAATTGAGGCATTTTCAGTGTTAATTTGGACGTATCATAGTCACATGAAAACAAAAATATTCCTCTTACTGTTTTGAAATAATAATTAAAGTACAGTTTCCATCCAAAATTTTGTTCTCCATTGAACCACTTTATACGTTGTGTCTTAACAAAGTTTAACAGTCGTCATTCTTAACCCGACCCCTCGTATACGCGTAGATGAATTATTTTTCTCTTTATACTCTCTTCAGCCCATAACAAACTAAAAATTGATTTTCCACCTCAGTCAGTAAGTAACCACTAAGGGACATAGTTTAACTTTGACAATGCAAAGGCCTATATGTTTTTAACGATTTTTGTTTTAACCAAAAGTGTTAAATCCCTCTCTTCCATCATAGTAATGGTCTTTTTATTTAACTAGCCTACGTAAATCTTTGGAGTTCAAGTACCTCCTTGAAATTCTTCTTATGTTTTCACAAGGAGGAAAATGAACCCCTAATATATTAACTTGCTGATCTAAGTTTCGGTATTTAAGGTATATCATTATCCTTGGCCATCCGCAAAAAGTTTGTATTTAAAGGTGAAATTCAAAGAAAATCACAAATATGTCAACTAATGTATCACTAGAAACTGGTAAGCTAACAGATGGCCATCGTACAAGTTTGAGGTCAGCTACATATCGGGTGATTTATAAAAATAAAAATACAACCACCTCCATAGCAGCTAGGATATACGAGAGATTCGCCAGAAAAATAACGATGTTTTAATGACGTCATAACAGGGACCAATACTGCCCAAGCAGACGACATCCTATAAAGAATGAACATAATTGCAAAGCTATTATTTCTCAAATTATAATGAGTTTAGTGTATATAAATGTAATGGCATGTCAAACCGATCAAAAGGGGACATGACCCGATTCTGATAACTAAAATCTTTTGCTTGTAAATACTCAGGATAGGGGTTAATTAACAATCAAATGAACCAGACTTTCAAATTGAAAAGCCCCCGGATTGATATTAAGGACGGCATGTGTTCCCTCTTGAAACGCCGAACATACCCAGGTGTGTGCAGCTGAATATACAATGGCGTCTTATTTTGTTTACAAGCGACAGATTCCTTTATTTTTGTATCGCTGCATTTGTCATCAAAATAAAACCATGCGCGGGGTTTAGAGTGAGGCAATAGATTATACATTTAGCCTGACGGTAGTGAAGTAAGAGAAAGAACTCAAGAGAAGATGAAAACACAGGCACTGAAAATGTGTGAGTTGTCATGGGACATCGTCTGCTTGTGCAAATCATGTCCCTGCTGTGATCTCACACATCTCAGCAGCGTTCGGAGAGCTATTCAGGTGCTTTGCCGGGGCTGTATTTAAGCGTTTTGTAATTTATAATAATCTTTACTTCGAATGTTTCCAAGCATTGAATTTTGATAACCTTGTCGAATCAAAGTTTCAACTTTGCAATAATGAAAATAAAGCTAGATTTAAAATCAATGAATATCTACTTTAATGACTTTAAGACAGATAAATTTTCCGAATTAGCATATTAATAGAATTTCTATCTTTCACAAAAAAAAATTTATCGTCAGCAGACAATATCTGTTTTACTTCACTCCCTTGATGGTATTATATTTCCTTATTGCCAGCGCCAATGTTTCGATAGCTAACAGAACAAAAATAGCGACAAAGGATCAAAGGATCAAAGTGTCTTGCTACTCGTTTTATGTTAGAGTACCCGCGCCGTGAAAAGGCCTACTCCCCTTCATAATACAAGTAGAAATATAATATGTGTATAACACCTTGACCAAAAACAAAAATTATGACCAAATCACCCTAGAAATTACGCTCAGATCAGCGCACGCAAATCAGTCAAGGTCTAGAACGAGATGCTTAATAAAATCTTCAATGTAAGCTTTATTACCACAATTATTTGTTAGCATATGCGCTGAGGTCTTACTATTTGCGTTTTATAATAGCAATTTACTTACCCTGTAAATAAGGAACCTCCTTAATAAAGAAAAGCACAAAAGTATTTTCAAGAATCCTACAACCTATTTGGCCAGGAAAAAATACGTTGAGTATCTCATTTCAATTAACAGTCGGTCCATACTTTGAAGTATACTTTGGGCATTGAAGCCAGAAATATTTTTTTGGTGTGATCCTTGAAATATGTGAAAGTAGGATATCTCGAAATGAGTACGAATGCAGAGAACCAATATCCAGCGTCGATCGCTTAAATGGTGAGTATTGTTCATATATTTGCGGTGGCCAAATGGGTCTCCTTCTTTTTAACAGATTCCCTCTGTTATGCAGGCATCATTATCCATTTTACATACACGTATGAGGAAACTTCCTTGTTTTTTAAAATAAAATAAATGACATTACTTTATAGCCGATCCCTGGACTGGACTTTTAAAAGCGTCAATCGTAACATTTGATATGAATTGCAATTTAGATGCCTTCACAATTTGTATACATAACGGCAAAACAGCGGTCAAAACCTTATCAAATTGCTCCATAAATCAGAAACTGTGACGTAAGTCGAAAATGTTACCTTGTTATACGCAAAATGCTCGTGGTTATTGTTACAGAATCATTTAATCGCTTCTTTCCGAAGGAAGTGCAGGTATTTCCACCGTGACAAACAAATCATAAACTTGACTGTCTAGGCCAGATGTGGACAGTAAATCATGATAAAATCACAGAGTTCCGCGGTGACCAAATACAGAGCGACCTTTACTGTATCTCTTGCCTATCTGCGAAGTAGACGATTATGGGATGCATTCAGCTTGTTGCGATAGCAACGCCGCAGGGGGCGTTGGGAAAAGGAGCGATGGGAAAGGGTGTCATCCCCCGGTGTCATCCCCAATGGTGTTTAAATGAATGTGAAGGGTGGGTTGCTTTTCGGTACAAAACAGTGTCGGTATTTATTTTTCGTCCGACCTAACCTATTCCCAGGCGCGGAAAGACGAGATTTGTGTCGTTTTCAGGTCAGGACTAGCCCTAATTAGTGTTTTAGGCCCCTGAATTCGTCATCTGACCATAATTAAATGCCTGAAATCCCTGCGCTTCATGGGGCTCAGAGCTCAGCCCCCTGGACACCACGCCAATTAGTGACCTGCCAGTGTCACAAATGAGGTATCTAAATACGCTTCTCTGACCATAATGAAACCCCTGAGCTTCCGGGTCCTCCGTCCGTTGACCCACGCCGGGCCAAAGCCCCTGTACCCCCACGCCAATTTACGCTCCACTCGCTTCGCCGCTACAGTACGCTAGCTCTACCTGATCGTTGATACTCCACTTTGAAAAACGTTCCGCGGGGTTGCGGATTTTTCTTCCGCACCCCAAGCATTTTTGTTCATTACGCCACTACCCCTGAAAGGTGAGCCCCCTGGAATGTCCCCCTATCCCAAACTGCTTCCGGCGCGCCTGCCCATCATCATCTCATCATCTCACCATCTCACATCCCCCCTTTTTGTCTCTCTCTCTTATGACTTCCTTTCTTTCTCCACCCCCTTCTACCCCATCCCCCATCGATCCCCGTCTCTGTACCTTTACGCCACTGCCTGCGAACAGATGTAATTCATTTGGAGTAAAAAAAAAAATTAAATAAAACAGCTTCATCAAGCCCCCCCCCCCCCCAAAAAAAAGAATCCCTATCATGCCTATTTTTTCGTTTTCCCATCGACTTCGTGATTAATTTCGGAGCACCACCTTACGACGCTAAGGACTTACACGGATCTGTTCTTCATCTTTGACATGTTTATGATGCTTAGGAGGAATAGAGCCACTTGAAGCATAGATATATTTTTTCTCTCTTTCTTTTCAGCCCTCTTGTTCTCAATGGTTTGCAAAAGTGATCAGTGGAAAGCGTATAAACGGGAGAGAGGAAGAATTATTGTCATATTTCTCCTATAACTATCAAGATGCCGCCAGAGGCAATTAGAGACGACACAAACTATTATGAGCGACTCTAATTAAAAATTACCAAGGGTTAGTCCGTCTCGACGACGACAGTCTATCACAGTGGCGTAGCAATGAGGGGTATGGGGGACATGTGCCCCATTCCATTGAATGGTGAAAACAGGAGGGAAGGGGAGACATACAGAAGGAGGAACGTTAAGCGAGAATGTTTAGATCACGTCTCATACCATCCCCTCACTGTATTACGGTCTCCTTATATCGCTCTATTATACTCTTTATTTCTAAAGTGCCTCCATGACACCCAGTACGTCCCCCCTCTATTTCTAAAATCCGGCTCTACTCCTGTACTCCAGTTATATTCTTATACCGGAGAGCTTGAACCTGCCACAGAATACGTCAAGATGAAGGGTTGTTAGAAGAGCAAGCTAGTAGGCCGTTTAGTAGCGGAGACAACAGGAGACATCTTCCCTCTAGCAACGGAATAATCCAGTTAGTAATTAATAAGTGGATGATCAAACTGTCAAACAAAGAACAGAAGGCTTGCCGGAGGACGGTCATTAAAAAAAAAATCGAATTCCAAATTAAAAGTGAAATTGCTATCGAGCCTGTGATAGTAAAACAAAATTATGACAGATGTGGGATTTTTATTTTAAAATAAGAAAAAACATTTTAAGCGTAGTGTTCTTATCGGAATTCAATTTGATGTTGGTTATAATCCAGTATTTTACAAATCTTGATCATTTAATCAGGGGCGTCGCCAAAGGGGGGATGTGTGGGGGGTGCGACACCCCCCCCCCCCCACCTGTCAGGATATTGTCGGTAAAATTGCGCTGCCGTCGGGAAAAAAGAGAAAAGGGGGAGGGAAAAAAGAGAGGGAAAGGGAAAAGAAAAGGAAAAGAAAAGAAAGAAAGGAAAAGAAAGGAAAGAAATGAAAAGAAAGGAAAGAAAAGAGAAGAAAGAAAGAGAAAAATAAAAATAGGGAGGAGAGGAAAGAAAGGAAAAGAAAAAAAGGGGGAAGAGTAAAAGGGAAAGAAAAAAAACGGGGGTGAAAGAGAGGAGAGAGGGGAGAGGTAAGAGCCTGAGAGAGGAGGAGTGGGAGTAAAAGAGAGAAGGGGGTTGTTGGGTGGAGTCGTCTCGTCGAGGGAGCAAGAAAGACACAGGTAAATATATTGCTATGTCGGGTCAGCTGTGTCGGTATTCTTGCTAGATCCTCGTGTACTATATCAATGCAGAAGTTTGAAGTCGGTGAGATGTACATTGTCGGTCGGCCGACAAGTTTTTTTCCCTACGAACTGTGACTTTTTATCCGCTGTGACGACTTTGAGAGTAACTACAACTACAATATTTGTATTTTCTCGAAGTTTCAATTTTCTATAATATCAGCTAAAGAAATCAGAGGTTAAAATTTTTTGGGGAAACTAAATTCAAACAAGGTTTAAGAGTCAACAACGGTACGACGAATCGTCTTCCTTACTCTATATTGTGATGAATCGCCCCAGAAAAAAATCCGCGCTTTGCGCGGAAGGCGAAATCTTCATTTAGACGAGTCCAGAACAGTACAACGAATCGTCTTCTTTCTCTAATATTTTAAGGAAACTTCAAAGCTTCAGCGCTGCGCGCGAGAGTGGGAAACTGAATTCAGACAATTAGGGCTTATTAAGAGTCGAAAGCGGTACAACGAATCGTCTTCTTTCTCTAATAATTTAATGAAAAGTCAAAGCTTCAGCGCTTCGCGCGAGAGGGGGAAACTGAATTCAGACAATTAGGGCTTATTAAGAGTCGAAAACGGTACAACGAATCGTCAACGTTCTCTAATAATTTAATGAAACGTCAAAGCTTCCTCGCTTCGCGCGAGAGGGGGAAACTGAATTCAGATGAATAGGGAGTAATAAGAGTCGAAAACGGTACAACGAATCGTCTTCTTTCTCTACTAATAATGAAACGTCAAAATTGGTCGCTAGTTTTGTCGGTATTCGTTGGCCTCTACACCCCCCCCCCCCCACTGTTTGTTTCAACTAATCCGTTCGTGATGGAAAAAATGAGTATAATGACATTTTTCGAGCTAGGTCAAATTGAAAAAAATAAGTTGCTAGGATATGACAAGCTCGTGATTGAATGGGTCAAGCTCGCTATCCATAACGCGAGACAAAATGAACACCATTCCTTTATGAATAGCGGCCCTTACTGAATAGCGAGCAAACCATAATTTACCTCGCTATAATTCATAAGGACCGCCATTCATAGCGGTCTTTTATAAATTTAAAGTTGAACAACTGAGTAAAAGAGTGTTAATCGAACCTTTCTGGTGTTATTCAACGCCCAATATATCCTATTATATTCACACAGTTATTAATAAGAAACAAAATTCTATTCCAGATATGAAGAATTGTGCATTAGAAAGAATACATACAAGAAGGAAAGGTTGTTTAAAAATATACACTGATGGATCTAAACTAGAGGACAAAGATACTGGATCTGGTTTTTTATACACCAGAATTGAGCATAACAAAAACTTATAAGTTATCATCAATAAACATAATGAGGGCAGAATTAGTAGCGATGATGGCCTTGGAGTGGCTAAAATATTGTAGAGGAATGTCAGTTGTTTTCTTAACAGATTCATTGTCAGCTCCTCAGGCTCTAGAAAGCAGCCAAAAAGTTCAAAATACCTTGTTGCTGATATTTTGTACAAAATTAAAATACTAAAAATGTCAGATATAGAGATAAACTTTGAATGGATACCTTCCCAATGCGGTGTTCGAGGAAACAAAATTGCAGACAATCTCGCCAAAAAGGAGCGCTGAAAGAAAACATTGAACTATATAGAAATTGTATACATAAAGGAAGAATTGACTCACCACATTGTCTTCAGTTTATAAAGAGATCTGGCAATTTCAATGGTATTCCGGATTAGATTGAAAACATTTATGGCGAATTCAGCCATATGTCACAAAAACAGAAAACATTCAATATAGAAAGGAGAAAGTAATAATACATCAGTTGAGACTAGGAAAATGCAAATTAAAATATTATCAGCACATTATTAATCAACATGAGGATGGACCAACAGCGGACCCGACACAGCAACATAATTATCTATGCGTATCTTTCTTGCTCCCTCGACGTGGCGACTCCTTTCAACATCCCCCCTCTCTCTCTCTCTCTCTCTCTCTCCCTCTTTCTTACTCCCACCCCTCTTCTCTCAGGCTCTTTCACCCTCTCTCTCCTCCCTTTTATTCCCCCGTTTTTTTTGTTTCCTTTTCCTCTTTTTTGTTCTTCTTTTTTTCCTTTTCTCCTTTTCTCCTTTTCTTTCTTTTCTTTCTTTTCCTTTCTGTTCCTTTCTTTCCTCTCTTTCCTCTTTTTCCTTTTCTCTTTCTTTCTTCTCTTCTCTTTTCTTTCTTTCCCTTCTTTTCCTTGTCTTTTTTTTTCTTTTCCTTCTAATTTCCCCCGCTCCCCCTTTTCTTATTTTTTCCCGACAGCAGCGCAATTTTAACGACAATATCCAGACAGGTGGGGTGTCGCACCCCACTCCCCTCCCCATTTAGCGACGCCCCTGGGTAGAGGGTATTATTGTGTTTTTATATATAAGCACTTCTTTTATGCAAACGTGAAATAGATACACAGGGTGAAAATCAGTATAGTGAAGCACTCAATTCAGTAGAAGTTCGTCTTTAGAATAATTATGTTTCAATGTATTTGTACATAATTATACGCATTTAACGTCACACATAGTGTTTCTGACTTTCACTAAAACTAAATTCGTGTTTTTTCGTGTTAATTTTCAGGGGCAAAAATATATTTTTTAAAAATAGTGCTCACTACCCAGGGGTTTTAGGCATTTAATTACGGTCAGATGAGCATTCAGGTGCTTGTCTTAGGGCCCTTGGTGGGTCCAAAGGGTATAGCCCCCGGAAGCTCAGGGGTTTTAGGCATTTAATTATGGTCAGATAAGCATTCACTGGGCCCGTGTCCTATAGTGGAGTCCAGGGGGGGGGGAGAGCCCCCGGAAAGAGCCCCCAGGGGTGTTAGGTATTTAATAACGGTCAGGTGAGCATCCAAGCGCCCGCCTTTGGGGACCTTGATGAGGTCTAGGGGTGGAGCCCTCGTAAGCTCAAGGTTTTAGGCATTTAATTACTGTCAGATAAGCATATTTTTATATTCCTCATTTCTTTCTCTTTTTTTTTTTTTTCTCTTTAACATACTTTTTCAAAAAAGTGACGGGGGATCGATCCCCGAGCCCCGCCGTTCTGCAGGTCCTGACATGAAGGCTTCTAAAAAAGTTTAGTTTTACCTACATGACTGTAAATTTGGGAATCAGTAAATTTCCAACAAACGCATAAAAAAGATTTTTTACAAAAGAAGTTGAGAAAAAAAATCCTCATGTCATTTCAGCAACATTTGTAAATCACTGGTATCGAAATTAGAAATAAGCGACATTTGATTTTATTTGGGGGGTAACCCCCCCCCCCCCCCACCCCCAATTCCCCTACTTTTTCGGCGCCTATGCCTAGATTAGACCTAGGTGTTTTTGGTGTTGTATGAACGCCCGCAGGTTTAAATTTCAAAGAGATTCGATCATACCATAGAGATATATTGTACCCTAATACCGGTATGTATATTTTTTTTTTTTTTTTTTTTTTTTTTAAATGATATTTTATTTCCTTCCTCACAATTTCACATAACAAGAAATTCACATAACAAGAAATTATCAAGATAAGCAATATAAAACAAGATCTTTGATACAAGACATTTCATAAGTTACATCAATCAATGAACATAGAGAAAAAAAAAAGGAAAAAAAAAAGTCTTGCATGTAACAGTGAATAATCAAAATAACAGTAGAGGAAGGTTTAAAATTACATATTACCATCCTATCACAACACTCTCACACCCCCCCCCCCCCCCCCCCCTCCCCTCTACCCCACACCACCTTTCACACACATAAACACACATACAAACACAAACACACACTGCATGCAACCTGTTCCCTCAACTCACACCACACAAACTGTTAACCCCCCCCCCCCCCCCCTAGCCCACCCATCTCATCATACCCCCTTCACGCCGACACACACACTGCATGCAACCTGTTCCGGTTTGTCCACCTGTACACGAGAGAGAATTAATAATACTAATAATAATAATAATACCCACATCCATTAAAGTAAAAATGCATCGATTTGTTCCCATTTCTGTAAGTGCATCCCCAGTTTCCCCTTTTTGAAGGCTATTTTGTATTCCTCGTCTCTGTAATTTTTAAGCATATGTACTGTTTTCTGTACAGATGGCAAAGTTCCTTCTTTTCTAGAAATAAAAATGATATACTTTACTAAAAATATGATACAATTTATTACAAATATTCTCGCAGTATTGCCGGATATTCCCATAAAAAAGGGTTTCCAATCATCAATGTCAATTTCGATTAAATGTAACTTTTGAATTACCTCCTGCCATAATCTTTTAACTTTAAGACAATCTAAAAATAAATGTTGGTATGTCTCTACTTCTAGTCTACAAAAGGAACAAAAATGGTCTGACTCAAAACCAAATTGTATATCTCTATGGATCATACACAATTGCGCCATCTACAGACTATTTCAAGTCAAACCTTAGAACTAATTTCTCGAGCGCGCGTCAAACCAATCAAACCAACATCAATCAACATGTCGTTCAATTTTGGAAGTACTCCGAGCACTTTTGGCGGGCAAAGTAAACCATCTTTTGGTGCATTTGGTTCTACGTCAACTGGAACATCTGGTGAGATGTTTTCTCTTACAGGGTCTATAATGTTTCCACGTTAAAGATGTATATAAATCACTCAACAATGAGATTTCATACTGTCTGCTCTGTAGTACTGTAGCTGTGAAAAGTGAAAGATATTTATAGTAGTATTTATGACCGGATATACTCGACCACTTTGTTCCTATGCATGCTGAGTGTAGCGAATAGTTACAAATAGATCTGATCTAGTCTAGAGCCAAATTGGACAGAAGTAACCGTCTGATAATTCTTAAAGTAGGGAGGCCAATGCCAAAATCTAACTTTTTAATTACTAATTTGTTTATTATAAAACAAAGATTGGTGTCTGATCGCGCACCCGATGTTGTGCTTAAATTCTTCCCATAGTCAGATAGACCTAGATCTAGACTAGACTAGTCTAGATCTAGACCCTAGGTCTAGTCATACAGAGATCATGAGATTGCACGCATCCCTATGCAGTCTACGTGCATTGCGCGACCATGCATTATTGGTCAAATTTTAGTTTTTCAAATCGAGATTCAAACCTTTATTCTTTGTGATCCTGAAGGTGATACTCAAAAAATGAGGTGTCATATGGCAACGGAGATACCACGCACAAATTGCGTGACTGAATTCTGGGCAGAAAAATGCTCTGTCTTCTATCGGAAGTATTTTGCTTATCATTATTCTATATTTTAAGTGACTAGTCTATAAAATCCTGTTAGAGGAATAAATTTCTTTTCTTTTGATGGATAGATTGCCAAATAAAAGAGGTAAGAATTCAAAATATTAGAGATGTCCCTTTTGCGGCCAACCTCAAATTCTGTAGAACTTAATTTGCAGGAATTATGAATATGTAGTGTATAAGGTACTATGTCCCTTGAAGTATCCCAGGTCCGTCTCCAAAAACTCACATGATTTTATTTTGAGACTTTGTCGTTGAAGGCGCCAATTTAATAATAATAATAATAGTAGACAATCCATTTTTGAAAACCAAAGATGACGGACTACTTTTCCTCCGAGTCCAAACAGAAATCTGGACATTTTGGTCCCAGTTTCTGAGTGGTACGTTGACAGTGATTGAGCTGGAAACATTTTTACTCACCGTACCATGCCAGCGCTAGCTCTCGGGCACGGGTAAGTGTCGGCCTGGACAGTGCCAGGAGACCGGGGGAAAAAAAGGAAAAATGGCGGCCGAGTATTCGAGTACGAGAAATCGTACTCTAGTAGGGTGTCTGAACGATTTTTCAATTTTCAATTTAGGATCGTTTTTCACCATTTTTGTTTGATATTTGAATAAAAAATGTTATCAGAATAATACATTTCAAATTTCCAGTCTCACCGATGTTTCTATCAAAAGTTACAGCCCCTCCAAAACGCTGGTATATTCATATCATTTTGGTCAAAATCGACGAAAACGACGTCCACGCAGAGTGATGTTGTTTTGCTAAATTCAGACAAACAGCTGTATCGCGCGATATGCAAGCGTATGCATATAGTACGCATGTTGCTAAGCCAATGCGCGACTTGCAGCTTGAGCCACGCTGTCTCCGCGATATGTGCCATTGACTAGTATGGTTGGCGATATTGCCATTGACTATAACGTGTATTCACTTCCGGGTTTATCGAGGGAATTGCCAACCATAATTTCAGTCACTATAATGTATAATTGAATTTGGGGTTTCGTTCGTGCGCGGAGATGTTACGCGATGTAACCATGGTTTGGACTGAGCGGAGCGCACGCCCCCTAATTAGCTGATCCACCAAATAGCGAGAAGGGTATTTTTAAACTGTTATCAGTTGTGATCCCTGGGGGCTAGCGAAAATATAATCACATAGAATTGTTCCTTAGGACTGGGACTACTTATCGATCGGGGCGTCATATCTCAAAAGTGACAAACCTCAGAGTTAGCCAGGACACAATGTTTAAATTGCTGTTTTGACCAAGATATTTTTAGAATTTCGGGGGCTAGGCCCCTTTGGAAATATTGGAATTCACCTGCTCTTTCATATGACACCTCATTCATTGATTATCACCTTCAGGATCACAACAGATAAAGGTTTGAATCTCGATTTGAAAAAAAAAAATTGACTTTTTTTGCATGGTCGCGCAATGCACGTAGACTGCATAGGGATGCGTGTAATCTCTATGGGAAGAATTTTAGCACACAACATCGGGTGCGCGATCAGACACCCTAACTCTAGTAATTGTCAACAGTGCAAGTATTTGAGTAGGCCTACTCGTCGCAGCCTTACTGAATACACAATCTTTAACAAAGATTTACAATTTATTATGAATCAGTCAAACTATAAAATATGAGAAGACAAATTTGCATTGTAGATTTCACCTTGATTTCATCAGTCTCCCAATATGTCTCTCTTGTCTTTCTGTTGATGCCCACAATTTTTTACTTCAGAATTTGCCATTTAACGATGTTTTAATGAATGATGGTGGTCTTTGGTGGGTTGTTTCTTGGAACACTTATCAAACATAAATATGTCATATTTGCCTTAAGATCTAATAGCAAGGACTGAAATCCTGAAATGAATGCTGAGACAACAGCATTCGTACAAAAGCTTGTGTAAAGGTAAAGATACATGTATATGAAGTAATATGCAATTGAATGTATTGTTTTTTTTATCTCGCAGGATTCTCCTTTGGTAGCACAGCCAAAACAACAGCTCCAACTCTTGGCTTTGGGACTCCATCGACTGCTACCACCACCAGCTCTGGGTTTGGGTTTGGGATTAAACCGATCGGTACAGCTACAACCAGCACTGGAGGGGGCTTTGGCTTTGGAAGCGGTGGGCTTGGAGGGAACACCCAGACAACCAGCAGTGCATCTGGATTTAACTTTGGAGCTTCCACAAGTACAGGAGGTAGGATTAGTTAGAATTGTTATCTATGAAAGTAGAGAGTACTGGTAAAGATAGTATTGGCATTTGCCACACTCCACCCAGGTGAAGTAAATGGGGACCTGGTAGGAATTTATTTCCTTGAAATGCAGAGTGTGACAGCTGCTCTGCTAAAGCCAGGGTGATTATACTGCATTATTGTAGAGCGTTTAGAGACTTCTGATAAAGTAAAGTGTTAGGCCCTCTCTATATAAGCACACAGACAGACAGTTCTGACTCCATCACTACCTGCTTTGCTAAGAGGCCATGACCAGAAACACCAAGTGCCATATGCTCGGACACAAGTTTGCTTCTTTCCAGATGCCACTAGGCTCTGGAACTCACTACCGCAGGCCGCCGTCACCTGTACCTCTCTGCTAAGCTTTAATCGTGTTTGAGTTGCAATTTTACAAGAATCGTGTTTTCAATTTGACAATATATGATATTTTTTAAAGATTTGCTGAGACTGATGTTGTCTAATGTTACAAGTCATATTGAATATAACAGCCCAGGCTCGTTCAATTACTGTCGTTATGAATGTTTATTTTTAATAGGGTAGATAAAAAAATTCTTAATTCTCCTGAATAAAAAAATTAAAATACTACAATATATATTTATTTCATTATTTATATTGTAAAATTTTTCCGATATTGTTACAATTAAAATATTAATTTTTTTAATGATTGGGTTTGAGCCGAACTTGTTTTGATCAGTGCCTAGTACGCTCGTGTATTCTTGCTGCTTTTTAGTATCGGCTTGCATGGTGATGTAGATATACATACAAAAGGCTTGTGGTTGCACCATGTGAGAGAGAGGGAGGATTGGGAAAGATCAAGAAAGAAAGATTATCGAGAGTCGAGTTCGGTTCGGTTTGGCTGTTCAGCTACAGCACTAGTGTACCGATAATACTTATTCTTTATTCTCTAATTTCTGCCTAACAGTTCATCAGCCCAGTACAGAACCTTTGAAGAAAATTTAAATGATGAAGATGTTGCTTTTTGTTGGAAGAATATTTTCTGTTTTTAGCTACAGTACTAGCATTTGCAGCAGATATGCATGAATACTATTCTATGTTCTTTCTACAGGTTTTGGTGCCAAGCCAGGAGGTTCGTCTCTCTTTGGTGGAGGCGGTTTTGGTCAGACAGCTCCCTCAACATCTGCCCTCAACTTTGGGTTTGGTCTCAATACAGGAACAACAACAACAAGTGAGTGTTGGAGGGATAACTGGTGTAATTTGTTTACAACACCTCCCTTTAATGTTCAATAAAGCTATAACCTCATTAGCTAATTATGGATCAGAGTGGTTGTCAGATTGATAGAAAATCTGGTCTCAACAATAACAGGCACCCAGCACACCTGGGCACCCAAACTTTCAGTCCGGACCCCCTCCATATTTAAATGAAATTAACATGGACTCAACCTTATAGCCCATAATGATTAGTGTTGTAACATCACAGATATTTCCAATGCCGTTTAACCGCTAGTCAAAACTTTTTTTTTAAATCAATTTTTTATTTATTTATTTTTTTATTTATTTTTTATTTTAAATAAATGGCATCAGTGAAGTATTATTCATGTATTTCAAGGCTGGGAACTTAGTTTTAAGAGTCAACTTCTCAATCTACAATCTTGCAATTGATTGTTATTGTGAAGATTGTTGCTCTGCAATTCAACATTCAACAGTCAGGGCTGGCTTATGATGACTATAATGTTGGCAAAACTTGATTTATTAGCTTCATAATCAAAGTGAAACCCATTCATTATTCCAAAGTATGCCTGTCAGTAAAGTCTCCGTTTTTGTTCAGTGATTTTGTTTCTAATTATGTACATTTTGGACTTTCCAGTTTCCAATAATTTTTTTTTTAAATCATAACAAAAAAACAAAAAAAAACAAAACCGTCCAATTAAAAACGGATAGTGCCATGGACGGTCGGATACCGGACGGTTAAACGTTTGACCTCAGCATTAATAATGATTTTAAAAAATATTAGCGTTGAGTCCTGGAAATTGAATGGGGAAGGGGGTCTTGCCTCCAGAGCCCTTTATAAAATAGGGCCTTGTATCTGGTAAAGGTAATACAAAGTTTTGGTATGGGGTCATGAATTTGGTTCAAATGAACATATTGGAAGCATATATGTAATCCTAAAATATTCAGTGATCGCTGTCGCAGTTTAAATCGAGTCTAAAGTTATGAAATTGTAAATAATAAACTCTTTATGTTGTATAACTCCATCTCAAGGTCAAAATATTGATTAAGCTACATGTATAAAACAATACTTCTTGACTAAAAACCACCGATTATCTATTCCTGTTTGGAAATTACATATCACATAGCGTGGAGGATATCTTAGATTTTAATGGTCGCAGCTACCATTGCTATTTGAAATTTATCAAAATTTACCAGGAGCACCGGTAAATTTCTGTATACAATTTTTCTCGAAAGCAGAAGTTTTTCAGGAGCTACAAATTTTTCTAGTGCCTATACATCCACAGGGGCATCCAAATATATAAACAAAATTGTGAAGAATCACTATCCACCCAATTTTCAAAATTTCCCAAAACTTTGTATTACCTTTATAATAATGTTCAATTCTTATATAGCGCATATTACAAAATTGTCTCTATGCGCTTAGATACGAGAGAGAGAGAGAGAGAGAGAGAGAGAGAGAGAGAAGAGAGAAAAGACATGAAGAATATTGAGCTTTCACCGTTTAGCAATTACAATTATCAAATCAATTACAAAATTCACATGTTTACTACACAAATTTAAATTTAAGACTGGCATGATCGAAACAGATATGTTTTTAAGTCGGATTTAAACTGATGTAGTGAAGGACAACGTTTTAGAGACTCTGGAAGATTGTTCCATAGTTTTGGTATGGCATACTGGAAAGCACGGTGCCCATATGTTTTGGTGGATGTGACTAAAGGTGTGAATGTATGTTTTGAAGATGAACGGAGATTGCGAGTTGGTAGATGACTTCAAATAATATTTTGCAAATACATGGGAGTATCACTGTGTTTACATTTATATGCAATTGTTAAGAGTTTAAAGCTGATTCTATCTCTTACAGGTAACCAATGTAAATCATATAACACGGGAGTAATGTGATCTCGTTTACGTTTACGTGAGACAATTCTAGCTGCACAATTTTGAACTCTTTGGACCTTGTCTATGAGAGAATCTGGCAAACCAAACAACAAACTGTTACAATTGTCAATACGACTCATAACAAATGCATGAACTAGTTTTTCTGTTGTGGCTTGATCAAGGTAATGTCTTAATTTGCCAATTTTGTGAATTGCATAAGAAGCTGACCGACACATATTGCCAACATGTCTTAATTTCAATGTTAGTTGATCATCAACAATGATTCCCAAATTTCTGGCATAGCTTGAAGGTTCAAGAGGAGGTCCATCGAACGTTATGGGTGGCAGCTGACTTCTGGTTCTAAAACGTGATGATATATGCAACAACTCAGTCTTTTCCTCATTAATCTTAAGACCATTCATCGCGGACCATGATTTGATTTCATTTAGACATAATTCAATTTTTGGTATAACTGTACATATTTCATCTCCTTTCAAAGCTGTATACAACTGTGTGTCATCAGCATAGATGGCATAGTTGAAACCATTCGCAGAAATAATGTCCTCCAAAGGGGATGAATATAAGGTAAACAGAACCGGTCCCATCACTGATCCCTGTGGAACTCTGTTTGTTACCAATCGCCTCTCTGATAGTGTGCCTCGAATGGTGACTGACTGGTAGCGACATGTGAAATATGACTGGAACCAGCTAAGTGCAGTACTGTTGAACCCAAATCTTTGCTGAAGACGATCAATTAGCATGGTATGGGATATTTTGTCAAATACAGCAGAATAATCGAGCATTAACAACACTGCTTCCTCTCCCTTGTCCAACATCAGTAGCAGATCATTGAAGACACGGAGTAGCACTGTTTCACAACTATGATTTTTCCGATAGGCTGACTGCATCAATGCATTCAAGTTGTTGGTTTTCAAGTATTGGTTCATTTGAAATACTGCTGCCCTCTCCATCATCTTGGACAAGAACGAAAGATTAGCCACAGGTCTGTAGTTTTTCAGATCATCTGCATTAAGCTTGTTGTTTTTAATGAGTGGCTTAATGTGAGCAACTTTCAGCGAGTCAGGAAACATTCCAACCTCAAATGACATGTTGATTATGCAAGCTATGATAAGAGCAAGTTCCTTAGCACACATCTTGACAAGACTCGTTGGCATTGGGTCAAGCGAGCAGCTGGAAGAAGAAGAGTTACTCATGAGATTAATCACCTGTTGGACTGAGACTGCTGAGAACCTGTCGAAACTGGAAATGCATACCTCTCATAGGCGAGTTTCTTGGAGTAGATTGAAATCCATGCAAAATATTCTCAATTTTTTCATGAAAAAACAACGAAAATCTCTCTGTCATTTCATCATCAGAGATGCTATCAGAAGGAAAAGTCTCTGTCAGAGAAGGATTGCACATGCGATCTACCTTTCTGAACAGATCACGCAATTCGCAATCTTGAAATTGCCCAACATGATAATCTGTCTTCGCTTGAAGGATGAGCTGGTTATAAGTAGAACAATGAGCTATATATATCTCTCGGTCCACTTCAAGTTTAGATGATCTTTTCTTCCTCTCCAGTCTCCTCAATTCTTGCTTTGAAGCTCTTAGACTTTCATTATACCAAGGTGCATTTGGTCTGCTTCTTACGTTAAGAGTCACTAAAGGAGCATGCCTGTCTAAAAGACATTGGAGAACACGAACAAATTGATCTACCAAAGACTGTAGTTCATTCGTAGGGGATGTATAGAGTTCAGAATGGAGAATATCATCACGCAATTTATTAAAATCAATTGCTTTCAGTTTTCGAATGGAAACATTTTTCATCACGGATGGAGGTCTAGCAGTGTTTAAGAGGGCAATTATAGCTGAATGATCTGAAGGAAGATATTGAGTCATTGACAAGTCCTGTACAAACTCATCAGACATGCGTGTAATCACCAAATCAAGTATATGACCCAAACGATGCGTTGACTCAACAACATGTTGCCTCAAACCGAAGGAGTCGATCAAATCCAGAAATAATCGTGCTTCTCTGTCATTCTCATTATCAATGTGAAAATTGAAATCTCCAGTGATCAGAAGTTTTCTTGGTTCAGAAGCTAAAACTTCCAGAAAGGATAAAAACTCATCAAAAAATATGGACGACGTTAGCTGTTGCTTCCTGTCCCTTTGTGGTCTATAAACGACTATCATGCGAAATGGGGTTTCTTTACATTCAGTGACGAGAAGATCGAGACTTTCAAATGAGTTCCATGACCATTCTTCATTAATGTGTGCCTTGAATGTTTTTCGGATACATACGCCTACACCACCACCGTTCCTATTCCTTCTAGGAATATGAAAGAAATCATGTGTAGGAAGTGTCAGTTTGAGATCTGCAATCACCTTGTTGTCTCGCTGATCACCAGATAACCAGGTCTTGGTCAAAGCAAGGATGTCAAGGTGTTTAGACAGAATAAAATCACATATCATTGGGATCTTATTGTTCATCGATCTAGCATTCCATAATCCAAATTTACCAAAAGACTCATTTGTTATGGACTCCGCTAATTTACGACGCCTATTCCTTCCACCTTTATGACCTTGTCTAGTTTTAGCCTTTATACCTAACGATGTTATAACATTCCAGACATTAGGTGTTACTCCGTGGGTGTGATTCAGCAGCAGTAATTCACTGCGATCATATGATATAGAACGAGAACTCCCCATCGCCCCGTTTATACTTGAAGCACACATCAAATTTGTTGGCTCTGTTGATCTCAATGGTACTGCTGAATTTTCAGCAGTCGGTCCAGGGTTAGGCTGCACATCTCCAGATCTTAATATCTCAAGTTGGAAAGTACAAACAGTATTGCTGTAGTAGCTAAGTCTCCTGCCACAGAAATGTGTACGTTGATGTATTTCTTTCTCATGACAGTAGTGGGTTGAATGAAGTGGTGGACATCTATTGTGACACTCTGAGGCAATGAATAGAGTAAGACTCACCAACACAAAAGGAACAACACTGGCCATCATCGTCAATGTTAATCCCTCGACATCAGCTCAATGAAACTTGCAGTCCGTGGCTGAGTAGCCAGCTAAATGCTGGATAAAATGGCTATACAGCTTTCCCTTCGTGCAGTGAGGGCCAGATCCAGCAAAATCAGAAAAGTTAAATATCGGCATTCATGGACTGATTTCCGATCTGAAATTTGTCCTGTTGTATCTACTCCTCTAAATAAACAATATGGTAAAATTTGTTTTCGGTGTTCTGCTCAAATTTCAACACAAGAAGCAAGATATTAGAGAGGAGTACAGAGCAGCTATTACGCGCTCAGACACCAACTCAACTTTTCTAGGAAACTTTAATAGGAAAACGGGTCAGTACTCAGGGCAGGCCATGTGTGTTTTGCTGACATGTTTCATTTGAATGCTTAAAAGGATTCCAGATCAAAATCGTTGCCTAGTTAAAAGTATGCTGTAGGCCTATTTATTACAACCAGTAATAAGCATTTATTTAATGGATATGTACATGTATGTAGGGATACAGGGTAGGGATATGGTTTACCGAGAAGGGGTTCTTGGACAATCACCCCCCCCCCCCCAGGTCTTATCCCCTAGTGCCATCACCCTAAGACCATAGTTTTTGTTGTATGTTAGTGTGTGCTCTCAGATATTAGGGCAAATACAATTATAATACAGAGATGCCAACCCTCCATGATTTTTTGAAATATTATTCCTATTATGTTGTACTACATGCAATTGATAGAGACCTCCCTGATTTCTGAATGAATCCTCCCTGAATTTCTGAATGAATCCTTCATTATTTTAATGAAAGTTTAAAAAACAAACGTAAGAATGAATAGGAAAAGAGAGAGAGGGATTCATTGGCAAAAGACGATGAGACATATTGGAAAGTGTGACTGTCAACAAAAAAACAGTAAATTAAACAAAAGCGTAATTTGGCAATCGTGCTCAAATGCAAATTTGTAAACGAAAATGTTGTCGGCCAAACCCAGAATTCCAAACTAAAGTTGTTATTTCTTCCTCTTTATAAAGGTGGGTTAGCGCCTGGTTTTGGTGCTCAGCAGCAGCAGCAACAGCAACAACAACAACAGCAACAAGGTAGATAATATAATATATCATTGTTATTTTCACTTATTTATTTTCTGCAATTCCAAAATATCTCATGCCGTTTCTGCATGAATTATCAGCTATTAAAAGAAGCATGCGGTGTTAAAAATAATAGATAAATATTTATTTTGTCTTTAAAAAAGTATTCGATTGGTATGTTGTAAAGAAGATTTTTTTTAAAGCCGTTTTATTATTCTCACATTAATGTTTTTATAACCTGATTTGTTCATCCTGCCGAGACCCGGCCGGCCGTTAGCTAGCTGCACTGGCAATAACAACCTCATGCTGCGAACAGTGAACTGCTTAGCAACCCATATTTATATCGGCAGTTTGAATCGATTCAGGATGAGCTAGAATATGATATACAAATTGGTAAAAATCAAATACTTAACCCTTACTCAGGGCTCAAATTAATTTTTTGCCCACGGGGGCTCTTCCAAAAAAAAAGAGCCCCCGTGAGCCTTCTCACAGGGGCTCTTTTAGTGCAGACGGGGGCTCTTATTTTCATACAAATTTCCATTGAATTGGTACCCGTGAAACTCCTTGGTATTTTATCAATATCATTTATTTAAGTCGGTATTTTCCCTCTTAGAAATTTATCTGTTACATAGCTGTTATTGACTTTTATCCCTGTGAGGACATTTTCTCCATTTCTTCCCGTTCTGCACATAATTTCCTCCTCATTATTCAGGGCAACCTTATTTACATTCTTTCTTTACTTTTAGTCTTTACCATATCCTTCTAAAACACAAGGGCGGATCAAGCTTTTAGCTAAGGGTGGGGGGCCACCCCAAATACGATGTGGAGCATCGATCACGAGCCGCGTAGCGGCGAGGCGATTTTTGTTGTTGCTATTTTGAACCCCCGGAAGTGGTGTTTTCCTGGCATCTACTAACATGCGGCCACATTTTTCCTTGGCAGCCCAAGTGGGAGGGGGGGGGGTGGGGGTTAAACCCCCTAAACCGCCTAGATCCGCCCCTGCAACATCTTATGCCTTTTTTTTTCTTCTCAATATTGATTTACTGGTCGAGTTACATTATTTGCTGGTCTTTAAGAATCACCAGATTTCAGAGGATTCAAACTTTTCAGAAAACTCCCGGCCCCCCCCCCCCACCTACTCAGTGTTATTTAGGGTACGCATATGCTCGTTCCCTCTTTATGAAAGCAGCCCCTATCTGAGGACTGCCAACATTTTCGAACCCCCCTTTCGCGAGCTTTTTGCAGGCTTTTCCTGCCTTGGAGACCCCCCTAAATCAGGAAAAATGCTCAATGTACCCCCCTAAATTCGGAATAATTTCTCAGGAGTCCAAAGAGATGAGAGAAAAAAAAAGAAAAAAACCCATTTTTAAAGAAATCTCTGGGTGAAAAGTCAAATACACCCCTTTTTTTAACAATTCTCGGGCCGGACTTTGTCGCACAAAAAGTACCCCTTTACCGGACATTTTGGCAACACGCATGCGGTCATTCCGATCCCTGAATGGGGGGGGGGGCCGGGGAAAAACTTCTCCATGTTTCAGTCTTTGCGCGATCGTCGATATCCAGCTACAGCAGATATTGGGCGTCAGTGTGCACACTGGTACTACCAGCAGTATAGCCAATGTGCTGACGGCCCCACCGCGAGCTTCCGTTGTTTGTATCGGTAATACTCGTAGAGTAAGCGTCATCTAAGTTCCATTTCATTGGTTTAAGGTTTGAAAATGGAAAATCAGAAAAGATAATCTTTATTGTATAATTCCACGGGGGCGATTTTTAATTTTTCAATCGCCCCTGTGAGCAACCTGACGGGGGCGATTATGGAGCTCATGGGGGTGAATCGCCCACCGCCCCCGTGTATTTTGAGCGCTGCCCTTACTGTAGTGGGGGGGGGGGGACTGGAAGGCCCCCCCTCGACATTTTCGGAGATCGCGCCGCAACCGCTCGGAATTTTGAATTGTCGTTTCATGACTTTTTTCCCTCAAGTCTTACGCACATTTTGATACCATTTTCGTCGAAATTGAATGTACCTGTAAGGTGTTATATAACAATTAGTATGCGCATGTCATCAAAAAAGTGCTATAATCGCATATATTCATGTACAAGCAGAAATGTGAAGATATGAATTGATATCAAATTGCTTTTATATGTTTCTCAAAGTAACTTTCAGAACAAAAGAATACATTAGAAATAAAACATTAGATATAATAAGAAATAAAAAACAATAAAATACATACAAAAATAAATAGTTGAAAATCGCATCAAATTTGCATCTATTTGCATAAATTATCATTATTAATTACATCAAATAACTATTTTGTGTTAAAAAAGAAGTTTCATATGAATAATGGGTTTCAATTAACATAAAAAAAGTGGAGTCTGACAATTTTTGTAATGATTCTAGTTCCCCATATATATTACTAGATTTGATATTCATGAATGCGTATTCATAATTTATGCAAATTAACCTATGCATTTTCAAATATCATAAAATAATGAAACCTCATAAATTTGAGATGAAGGAAACATTTATTTAATACATTTACAAGATTTTTCACAAGTCTACGGACAAATATGTAGAGTTTTCTGTAAAATGCATAAAATTAGCATAATTTTGCATAATTAATTAGGCTATAACGACGAAAATTTGCATATTAGGAAAAAACTAATTACATGTATCTTTTTTCTTACGTAAATATCTACAAACATGCAAATTTTCACGATCATCAGACTTTCGACGGCCAAGATCATAGGGGGGGGGGCCTCCCAGGCCCCCCCCCCCCCCCCCCCAGTCAGAGAGTGCTCGAAATAGCCCAGTACAGTAAGGGTTAAGAGTTTTAAGGTGGGTGATTTTTGTGGTGTGCAATACTGCAATTTTTTATATATTTCATTATTTCTATCGGAGCGTCGGTTCACAAAATACGACACCAGGACCCAATGGCGACGGTCGAGATTCTGTGTGATCAACCGTATAGACTCAGGCTTAATCTTTTAAAGTCCACTCCAAATTCTTTATTAAGTTAAACCGAAAATGGAAATTCTTTTTGCCCAATTGATCGTGAGCCCGGCAGCCACTGAGCAGCGCCAGATCGACGTTGCTCTATCCCTTATCAGAGCTGCCAAGAAGTATGGATTTGCCGTATTCCGTACGGAAATCAACTTAAAATATGGACGTACGTTTTTCATGTTAAAATACGGAAGAAGAAAAAAAATCAGTTGTGTGTAAGTCTATGGGCGTTGCGCGCGCCGTGTCAATTGTGTATTAGTCTATATGGGCAAAGCTGGTGCGCACTCCGTGCGCTGAAAGACGTGTGTCGACTTTGGATATCCGTTTGTATGTTTACTGTGCATGTGTGTGATGCTTCGAGCATCGATTGTCTGCGTGTGGGACTGAAGTGAAATCGGCGCTACAACTTGCCAATATGCGTACACGTGTGTGTGTATGTACTAATTGTGCATGCGATGTGACTGCAAGTAGAGTGCATGCTAATGACGTCATTGCTTTGGAAGCAACATAGAGACACTTAAGTTAAGAGTTAGAACTGAAATGAAGGACATTTGCAGAAAAGACTGAAAGAATTGTCCAGTCAATGACGGTAATGAATGTTCATTTGATAAGAATAAGAATACTGAAAATGCAAAATACAACTTGGCAGGTCTGCCTTATTGTTGAACGCCAAACAAGGTAGCAGCAACTCCCGTCTTTTAACAGTGTTTAAGCGAAAAATCCTCATATTTTTAGACGCCTTATACTACTATTTCACTCCTGGTTGCCTCTGAGATGGATATGATGGCTACATGATAAAAGGTGATATAGATAGAGTCAAGAAATCAGTAAAGAAGTCCCCACATCCACATCCAACATCAAAAACTCTGTGCATTGCAAAGGATCTTTCCCATTGCATCATCCTTAATATTGCTATTCACATTTTCTTTTAACAGTCAAGTTTTATGCGCAATGTTTGAAAGCTGCATGATATTACATCTCATGCACTCCTTGTGTCTTTAACCTTTTGCTCTTATTCCAGGCGTTGACAACAACCTAGTTCTCCTTGCAGCTGCTCTCTCGGTACCCAGCATCTATGGCGATGAGAGAGACAACCTCCTTGCCAAATGGAATCAACTCCAAGCGTTCTGGGGGACAGGCAGCGGGTTCGTCAATCAGAACACCACAGTCAACTTCAGCCCAGATAACCCCTTCTGTAGATTTAAAGTGAGGAGCAATGAGGATTGAGGATGATAGCAATTTAGGGTCCAAATTCTTAAAACAGTGCTTGGCGAAGATAACAATATATTGTACTCCAGCATGTGAAGTCAGCGGGCAATGGCATGTAAAGCTATATAAAGTTGGATGAATATGAACCCAGAAATTTAATATTCATGCCTCAACCACTGAGCTTTCTTTGTTTTATGATTTTAGAAAATCTTTTCAAGAAATATATCTCAATAAACTTCAACATGTGCAAAATAAGGTAAAAAGCCAGGAAGAAACATCTGGCAGTATTTTACTTTGTGGTCATTAGGACATACTCCTCAAGTGCCATGTACACACTTATGAGCAAATTTTTTCTAAATATTTGAGGGAGCGAAGCGAGCAAGCAAAAAAATAAAATTCTAATGTAATTTTTTATTTTGTTATCGACACACTAATAAAGATATAAAGTTGTGTATTCAGTTACCTCGCTGCGCAATAAAGACATGAGTGAAGCGAACAAGCGAATTCAAATGTACTGTTGATGTATTTGGGCACCTTGCTAACCCAATATGACGATCTTTGTGCACTTGGCTGTCAAATAGAAGGGTATTATGGCACCTTATTGCCCAAAGATGGAGGTATTCAGGATTTAAGTTTTTTAAATGCTATTTCCTCACAAGAAATACGTATTGGTTTCTAAGATTTTATGTTCGCTCTTTGCTGTCAGAAATCATCATGATTATACATGTTGCAAGCAAAGCAAGTAAGAAAGAAGTACACTTTAATATCTTTTAAATACCATTTCCTGACGAAAATACATAGCAGTTTCTAAGATCTTGTTTTTATGAAATGGACGTTATTCCTAAATGATTTAATAGTGTAGCTTAATTTTTTCCAATGGCACCCCTAGTAGATATCTTGCAGTACCCCAGTTGAAAAACGCTGGGCGTACATTTCAACAAGAAAGACAGGTTTCTGAAAGAAGAACTGATGAAGGGAAACGAAAATATGTATCTTTCATGAATAAGCAGCCTTTCTTTGTATACAGATGCTCACAAAACAGTATGTACCCTGAAACCTGCAGCAAAGGCAAAATATGGCCTGGTAGTCCTACACTATGAAATATAAGATTCTCATTGGTGAAAGGAAACAAAAACCTGCACCTTTTATTGACAAATGGTATTTATATAACGATTGCTCACCGAAAGATTTTCACTCTTCTTCATTATGTGCATCCTCAATAGGCAGTTGGCTATAGTGTAAAACCCACAGCAAAGACGAAAGATGGCCTGGTTGTGTTACACTTCAACAAGAAAGACACAGAAATCAGATCTCAGCAGCAACAGATGGTAGACTCCCTCTACAGAATCCTGGGCAGTAAGCCCTCTCTGTCAGTGTGCGTGGAGGATGTCAGACCCCTTCCAAATGACAAGTAAGACCTGGACTAGCTTTTTAAGGGGACCAATCACTATTCAATAAAATAATACATGAATAATACTTGAAAAAAAATTTATCCAAAACAGGTTTCACAGCCATTCCGGTTAAACGTTAGGAAACCCTTTAAAACAAATTCTGTAGTTGCAATGGTTTTAAAGATACTGCACGTATGTCCCTTTTGCTGCCAACATCAAATTCTGTAGTATTTTGCAGAAATTATGAATATGTCATGTATGTCCTATCTATGAAATTTAAACGTTAGCAGTGTCCTAATATTCAAATTATGCAAGGAAACCTGTTTACTTGCTAGACTTCACTGTCAGTAGGTATCACAGCTAAAGTTTGAAAGTATCTACATTTCATTTCCCCTGCCAATTTCCTTTTAGAGCACATGGAAAGAGGAGTTTTGATACCTCATTTGTCAAATTTGAATAAGTACTTCTGAAAATACGGCCACTTACATAAGAGACGAAATGGTCAAATTTTGCGTAATTAGGCTATTACTGACAATTAGCCATTTTCAAGGTGACATAATTTTGTAATTAATTGATGAATCACCTTTCTTTTCAAGAAATCTGTTCTCTGTATGGATTTCTACATGCCTATTTTTTTTCACGTTCTTTAGACAAATATTTTTTTTTGTGGAATTTTTCAAATAATTATATGAAGCCCATTTTGATGCATGTGACAAATGGCTATTTTTGTGTTGCCGGAACAAGTTTTCATGGGTTTTGAAACATGGCTAGATTTAAGAGTGTCTATCAAGAGGGGCTGAATTTCAACATATCTGGGGTATATATCGTCGGCCTTATGCCAAAAGGGCCTTAACTGCTTTTGGCCATTCCGAGATAATCGCGTTTAAAGGTTTTGGCCTCTCTAATAATCAAAAGTTTGTGGTCGTTTTTTTCGTTTTTGAAGCCAATTTCAATAAATATGTTAAGTTATTAAGTTTTACATGAAATGTGTTAAATGTGTTATAAAATATTCAGAATTGTACATGCTATGTGCAAAAAACATGTTAGGGCCTTTTTGGCATAAGACTTGAATGCAGCGTATTTATGCCAGAAGGGCCGTAACCTACTCGGCATTGTGCCAAAAGGGGCGTAACCTACGCGGCGTTATGCCAAAAGGGCCTTAACCTGCTGTTATCGTACGCGTGCATAGTTAGCGCCCTTCTGGCATAAGGAAATTTTCTTGTTTCGCAACACATTTGGTTTGCCAGAAAGGCCCTCCTACGGCTACTGGATCACGAAAACTGATAAAACTGGTTAATTAAAATGTTTGAAAAAGTATTTTTGATATCCGAATATTTTTATTAATATAATGCAGCTTTCGGTAAAGTTATTTTTTAGAGATCGTACATTTAGAACACCTTTTTTGTTGTTTATTTTTCATCACAGTCCCATACGTTGACATCTGCATATTTCAACGAGTCGGTCGCATTTCATGCATCCACACCTAATTTAAATCTCACTCAGATTTCATGATCTAAATTCATGACATATACTTTCAGTGATTATTTTAAGTACATTGTGTCTATTCTAGACTAATCATGTTTTTAATGGTGTTTCTACTGATATTTATTGAATTAAAATGGAAATTACGAAATAATCTGTCATTGATAAAAGATTTGCCGTGTAGGTTAAGGCCCTTTTGGCGTAAGGAAAAAGATGAGATACGCGTTAAGGCCCTTTTGAAATTCATAATTATCTTCATAAATAAATCAAATTTCAACAAGTGAAGCACATCATGTTAAAGAGAATGATGAAATCTACAAGGTGATGTTAATAACTCAATAACCCCCAAAATCGGGTTAAGGCCCTTTTGGCATAAGGCCGAAGATATATAGCTTATTTATTTCTGTAAGTTTGGACCATCAAATCCATTTAAATTAATTAAAATGGCATTTGAAAATGGCTCTAAACTCTTAAAACTTCATATTTTAAAGCACCCTTAAGCTTTTTTGAGCGTTTTCAAGTCTGCCTAAATTGAAAACCGTTAATGGTAGGGGAATGAATTTAGGCACATCAATAGAAGGTATGGCAGTGGCAGATCCAGGGCCGGGGGGGGGGGGGCACAGGGGGCACGTGCCCCCCCCCCCCCCCCCCCCCCCCCCCCCCCCAAAAAAAATATGTTAATAACAACCCTAAATTCCCCCAAAATGTACTAAAAAACAGGGACCCCCGACCCCCCAAAAAATTATTAAAAAAAAAAAAAAAAATGGCAATGGCTGACCTAAAAAGGTGACCTTACCCCCCCCCCTATATGTGTGCCCCCCCCCCCCCCCCCCAGTGCAAGAAATTCCTGGATCCGCGCCTGTATGGGACTCACTTCTTTTTAGCATTTTGGGCCATCAACCTACTTTAACTAAAGTTTAAATGGCTTTTGAAAATGGCTCTAAACTTAAAGAAATACACTCTTCAAGAAGTCCAGATTGTCAGATTGCCATTAGTTTGCCTTTGGATGGAGAGAGGGTGGGGGTGAAAGTAATGAGGAAAATTTGAGTAGGCCTACCTAACTTATTTACTATATAAACAAAAATAATAACAAATCCCTTTTAATTGAAATTCATAAATTGAATCCACGATCTTAAATTTAAAAACTCTGGGAAAACAATAAATGCCCTTTAAGTCCTTGGCATGGGTTCACAATCACAACATAAGAAAAGAGACACCAGTATGGGAGGTGCACTGCCGCCGAGCTATCACCGAGTGTGTGTGTGTGTCATTGGGTTTTCATACACAGACGTGCATCAATCAGATATGATTACTGAAAAGACACTGCCTGAATTTAATTGGAAGTTAATAATAATTTTCCAAAGATCAGAAAAGCCGTCATAACAGTTATTTTATTTAGATTGAAACACAAAATTTGATTAAATTTTCACTCTATAAATTGACAAAGATTACACAAGTTTGTTCTCGAATTTCTTAAAAAGTCACTTTGAAATTCAAAGTTCACTCGCATGACGTGCGAGAAAAATTGCGAGTGGAAAAACACAAACATGTATTATTGGTCTTGTGATCGCTTTAAAATCTGTTTAGGTTACCTTAGCATAATAATTCCGTCGAAATATATATGTATTTACTAATTTGTTCGCCAAATCCTGCCCAGTTTCGATATTTGAAGCCTCAGATTCATGCTCCGTTTCGGATCTTGATGGGACGGCAAGCGGCAGGTGCGGTGAGGGGCCACGTGGTGCCACGTGGCCTCTCTCACTTTCGCTCAGAGCGTATCGACTAAGGGTATAGTTGTTTTCATCGGATTGGCGCTCTAGCGCTATCTCGCGATCATTCTTAATATTTACATGATCGTATTCTCCAGTAAATTCTCTTTCTTCTCGTATTGTATCAAAATTGAATTAAAGTATGTTTTTCTGATATATAAAAATTGTTTCAAACTTTTCACTCTGATTTTTCACGATTTTTTTTAAACATACCCCCATCAGTTTTTATATGAAAATAAAGCTTAAGATGTGCTCTTTCCAACCAGCAGATTTTTAAAACTCAAAGACGAATGGCGTTCAAGCGCATTGAGGTAAAACTAGGGATACAAATCGGCGATCAAATAAAAATGACGACAAACGAAGTGACACGGTACGAATTAGAGGGTAAATCTCAAGCAACTGTGTCGTAAGTAATTGATGGATTTTGATGAAAATGACATGACATAAAAGACAGAATCCTGAGCTTTCGAGAGACATATAATTTTATAATATTTATTTTTTCCATGATATGAAAATCTTCCTTGAAAAAGAGAGAATTTGCATGGTTGAGCTCTGCGTGTCCCCACTCAATGCAGCTCTTCTGTGATACCTACTGTCAGACAATAATTGAGTGACTGACTGGCTTTTTTTTTGGTAATAACATATATATAAAATGAGCTGTAAAGGGTACATGAACAGTTTTCGACAATAACCCACTTCTTGTAATGGCAAAAATTAAACTGATTGAATCTTTGCGCAGAATAAAACATACAACCATTTAGTTCAATGGTCTGAAAATTATACCCCATTCACAGTGGCCTCAAACACCGCGACAGCAGCGGGACTGTCCCGCTGCTGTCGCGGTGTTGTCTTCAGTGTGAAGGCTCGGACCCGTTATAAACTATCGCGGGATAACACCGCCTCGCGATAACGCCGCGACAAACTATCGCTAGGTTCGCCTAGCTACAGCAGCGGGACAGTCCCGCTGCTGTCGCGGTGTTTACTCAGTGTGAAGGCTCTCCGCTATAACACCGCGACAAACACGTGTGATTTGTTTACTTACCTATCACTGACCTCTTTTCTCCAGCAATGGGGAACATAAAGTGAAATAGAAATAAAGTAACCAGTGGATTCAAATTGATTTTATTATTATGTAGATATTATAATTATCCAAATAAAAATATTTCACACTTCAAAAATTAAAATATTCTGACTGGAAGCAATAAAAATGCTGGTTTTTTAAAACGTCGAGCTAGCTACATGAGGAAGAGTGTGTAAAGTACAGCTAGCGCGCGCAATTTCAAGCAATCGAAAACCCCGCGCTGAAGTATTTCCGGTCATATCGGGGTCACTCGCGGGTCATGAGCCATGCATACACGTGTTTGTTACGGAGGTAATAAAAATCACCCGCTGCAGCGTGAATGGGTACATGATATTTATCCCGCTGCTGCAGCGGGATAACTTTTCTACTGTGAATGCATTTGTAGCGGTGTTATGGCGGTGTCGCCGCTCCGCTACAACGCCGCTACAAATTTCAAAACCACTGTGAATGGGGTATTAGACTATTACTTACTGGCTCTATAGCTCTTAAGTCGATTCGACAACTAATAGTCGTTTTTTCCCACTTAAAGACATTTTCAAGCACCCAGGATAGTTCTAAATTAGTATTATCTTTTGAATGCCGTTGGGATTTTAACCTTTTCATTTTTGGGGCCTGCAAATGGGACATTGTACCTTTATTACATATATTATCCTGTGACTGTCAAGTGAAGCGTATAGAATTCTATGGTAAATTCATTTTTGGAAGAGAAATTCACTCATTTGCATATTTATGGTAGTTAATGCATATAAGGTAATCAAATTCACATTTTTACCCATTAATCATATATTCTTCATACCGGTATTTAAACATTACTTTTCACTACACATATTCTTTAGACCATTTGGAATAATAATACAACAAATAAAATTTGAAGAGCCAGGTTATTCATTATGTTAAGTACATGTATTGTTTTGATAATATCTTATGTATTTTTTTTTTTTTTTTTTAACTTACTGGTATGTATTGTATTGTTTTATTTCATTTCTAACAATAATTCAACTAATTTGACCCACATAATAAACACCTAAACTATGAACAAGACCGAATAACCAATGTTTTATCTGTTTTTTAGAAAAATGAGATTTCCATATGTTTTGTACACAAATCACACAAATCACGAAAAATGAGCGATTTCCGAGCTGACATTCAAAGACAAAAGGTTACGTGAATTTGTAACGGTATGTCTGATTTTCGAGAATATTTTTTTCAAAAGATGCACAAGACTGAAAGAAAAAAGGTCGTAAAATTTCAGCGCAAGATTCTATTGCGTTAACAAATTATCTTAAAAAATGTAGAGAGGGGGGAGGGGGGCTTCTAAAGCCCTCCCCCCTGGGCTAGATAGGGTTAAGACATCCTCGAGAGAGATTTAAAGGGAACCAAAACCTTCATTTTAAGTTACTTTTATTGTAAAGTTTAAAAGATTTGAATAAAATCAGTGAAAATTTGAACAAAATCGGGCAAGGAATAAGGAAGTTAGAGCTTTTTGAAATGACTAGTCACTAGAGGGCGGTATTCAATTTGATGACATTATCTGTGGACAACTCTTCATGCCTTTTGTACATACAATTTCACAATTTCACAATTTTTTTTGTTGTCTTCATATTTATTTGTGTTCTTGATCCGACTTCATAACATGTGAAGTAGAATATCATTTTGCATTCTATATCTTGCTATCAGGGAAGTAGATTATCTCAATCACAAGAAAGAAGGAAAAACATGAAATTTTATGTTCAAAAGGCAAGGAGAGTTGTCCACAGATAATAATAATAATAATAATAATAATAATAATAATAATAAAACGTTACTTATAAAGCGCTTACCACTGAAGTCTCTAAGCGCTATACACACAAAATAGACTGATATACAATTACATCTTATACAAAACTAAAAATGCAAATAAACCTACAAATAACAATACATATGGAATACACATCAAAGTGAACAGAGTTAATTAATCATCAAACGCAATTTTGAATAAATGTGTCTTGAGACTAGTTTTGAATAGGTTAACGGTTTGACAGTTTTTTACATTTAAAGGTAATTTGTTTTAAATTGAATACCGCCCTCTAGTGACTAGTCATTTCAAAAAGCTCTAATTTCCTTTTTCCTTGCCCAATTTTGTTCAAATTTTCACTGATATTTTTCAAATATCTTAAACTTATAAAAGTAACTTAGTATGAAGGTTTTGGTGCCCTTTAACATCAAATCCTGCATGTTAAACATGACATGATAAGAATGATCATTATAGTAATCTTCATTGTACACTTGTATTTGCTTCACAGCTATTTATTAGAGTTCAATATCTTGGAATACCACATGATAAAATGTAAACATACAACATGATAAGAAGCATGAATATATTTGTATTCTTCATGTTCTGCATCTTTTCTTGCTTTTCTGTTTCATTTCAGAGCTGAGGTAGTAGTCTACATCTTGGAACGTCTTCCTACTGGTGCTACTAAACGCATCCCTTCCACAGAAACCTTTACCTTTTTTAACCAAGCCAGCAACAAGCAGCAGCTGGGTAGTCTAGGAGTAGTTCACATGCAGCCTAGACAAGCATTGTCACAGGCTCAATTAGAACACTACCTTCAGAATCCTCCACTAGGTGAGTGTTAAAGAGATTCAGGTTATGGGTTACCTTGGGATTGTTCACATGTCAACTGGCTAGCATTCTCACAGGCTCAGTCAGAACATCTCTTTCGATAGAGGTGTTGCGGTCGAGATGATATGTCACCGTACTGTGGATCACAAGGTCACTAGTGTCTTTTGGCAAGATTTACATTTGCCACACTCAACTCAGGTAAGGTAAATGGGAACCTGGTATGATGATTCCTTGAAATACACTGTGCGCTGATAACGGCTGCTGTAGCTAAAGCTAGGGGAATAATTTCCAAAGCTCTTTAGTAGCACATGGGGACGTTATATAATGTGATATGCTCTATTCAAGAACAGACCATTATTTCACTCACAATCTCACTCTCCTTATTCTTTATTGGCTGATTATATTTCTTGCCATTTTTTTTTTACAATGTTAACTCTTTTCTCCTCAAATTTCTTTTTCCTGGTGGCATGAAAGACTTCCCACACATTACTATATATGCTGACACGGAATACAGTCAACCTTGCACAAGTTGACATCGCATGTGTCGAATAACCTCCGGAGTCGATAAAAATTAATAGTATTTTTCTATATAGACCTACGCGTGTTAATCATCTGTATTAGTCTACTTGTATATTTTTAAGTCTAATCATCGCCTACATGTTACAAATTGCTCAAAGTCCATCAAATTCCCAAAATAGTAACAAATGGAAAGCATTGAATTCACATGGCAACGTGTACCAGTAATCAATTTCTGCATGTGCCTCACACTGATTTTACTTACACAATATGGGATTTTATGTACTAAAATGCTCAGATGCTCATTTGTGCAAGCGCCACCTTGTGGTGCTACGACTTGGAAAGGTGTTGGAGGGCTACGGGGCAGTTACGCTAGGCCTAGGGGCAATGTACATGAACATGTACACTACCCCTAGTACATACGTCAAAGTCGTATTTCTACGACTTGCATACAAGTTAAAGATTGCCTAAGTTGACACATTTCACTCAGTCCTGTCGAGGTTGACTGTATATTGATAATAAAACCAAATGCCCAAATTTCTAAGAATTCAAAGCATATGCATGAAGATGATTCTTGGCATTGAAATCTGACTTTAAATCCATGTTCTGTCTGTGTCTGAACTAGGTTATGACCCAAGACTATGGAGGCAAGCTCAGCTTGATAATCCAGATCCTGACAGGTATGTTATGCAAATATACAACCTGTTCTCTGCCTGGCTTATGGATTGGCAGTGTCACACATACTGACCTTGTGTTGATTGTGCTACTAATAAGAGAGTACATTTAAAATGACCACTTTTAATTTTTCAACAAATTTACATCTGCTGAGCAAGCATCCTTTCTGACCCTTTTGCCAAGCTGATAACAAGCTGTAAAAGTGCACTACATCTTGATAACAATTTGATCCAAATGAGGGCAGACATATTGTTGAACATTGGAAAATGATGGGATAAATATAAATATATGAAAAGTTGATTTGGATTTGATTTTTTTTAATAATTATTTTAGATATTGAGATTGCTGTTCTGTAGGAAACGTAAACTGGTAAAGTCTTATTGTTACTGTAATGCCATGTAAGATAATTTTAATTCATTTTAGTACAAAAGTAAGATATCCCTTTTTCATCATTTAAAGAATTTCTTTTATTGTTTTTATTGGAGAACATAAAGTGGTATACTTGTACTTCCTGTATACATCACAGTTCAAAGGAAAAAACTTCATTCTTACATTTGTTAATATTTTTTTTCATGCAAACAAAGAATGGAAAATAGAAATGTTATCACAAGTAAAGAAATCATTCAGTTTGGGATATTCATAACATTTATGTGCTTTATCCTGTTATAGACTCATCCCAGTCCCACTTGTTGGATTTGATGTCATTAAGACAAGGTTAGAGTATCAGCAGCAAGAGACTCAGCAGCATCAAGCAAGGTTGGATGTAAGTTCATTATGACACTGTTTAAAGGCACTGTTTAACAATGTTTACAGGTTTACAAATCTGAAATACGTGGCCCTAAAAAAATTGCGCTTCAAAAAGATCATGAAATTTCTTTAAAAAATCATAAGTCTTTGAGTGACCGGTTTTACCATACTCATTTTTCCCAATAGACTGTAGTGTTATAAAAACAGTTTGGAAAACTTTTTTTGAAATTTATATATCTTGATAATCAGACAGATGATCAGCTTGTAAAATTCATGGGATTCCTGACTGACTTTAAGGTTTATAATTATGATTGCTGCATGAGCTAAATCCAAGATTTTGTCTTTAGAATCTGAGGCAAAGATACCCAATCCTTTTAATCTCAGAAGACTTAAGACGTGGCCATGAAAACAATAAAATGAAAACATACAATACAGGCAGGGAGCTAGGGTACAATCAACTACTTGAAAGCTCTCGTCCTTGAAGTCTAATTTTTATTAAGTAAACAACTTGTTTAAGCTAAACCACTTGCAAATCTTGCACCAGAAAACTACCAAATGAAATGATCAATACATCACATTGAAGGAGAAGAGTTACTCTAACTCATAAATATTACAGCTAGTAGTCAAATCACGTTTCAATATGTGAAAACTGTGCGAAACGATGTGCCATTATTTGTGTTCTTTTATCTGAAAATGTTGCAGCATTTTCCATATTTTTCATCATTGCACTAGATAAAACTTTTTTATATGATAAATCAAAGTATATAAAAACTGGCCACCAAATATCTTGTGGTGCTTGTTTCATAGTAATTATTTTGTATTGACAGCTTGTGAACAAAGACTTGGAAAGATTGCAAGAGCAGCAGAACACATTGCAGGCCAGAATAGCAGAGAATAAGAGGAGGCATCTGGAATTGTCCCATAGGGTTTTACAGGTAGGCCTTGGAATTGTGATGATATTGGTGATGATGATGATGACAACGAGGACAATGACAGTGCTGATGATGATGATGAAACACATCGAGAAGAGGATGTTGGTGATGATGATATGAATGATATATGGATATAGGTGTTTATGAAGAAGATGATAACAGTGGTGTTGACTATAATGGTTGATGATAATGAAGTTTGTGCTAGTGGAGATGATGAATGTAATGGTGATGATGATGGTTGTGGTGTGGTGATGACGATGTTGGTGATGGTGGTGTGGTGATGGTGGGGGTGTGGTGATGATGATGGTGGTGGTGTGGTGATGACGATGATGGTGATGGTTGTGGTGTGGTGATGACGATGTTGGTGATGGTGGTGTGGTGATGGTGGGGTTGTGGTGATGATGATGGTGGTGGTGTGGTGATGACGATGATGGTGATGGTGGTGGTGTGGTGATGGTGGTGGTGTGGTGATGGTGGTGGTGTGGTGATGACGATGTTGGTAATATTGGTGGTGTGGTGATGATGATGGTGGTGGTGTGGTGATGACGATGTTGGTGATGGTGGGGGTGTGGTGATGATGATGGTGGTGCTGGTGGTGGTGTGGTGATGACGATGTTGGTGATGGTGGTGGTGTGGTGATGGTGGTGGTGTGGTGATGACGATGTTGGTGATGGTGGTGGTGTGACGATGTTGGTGATGGTGGTGGTGTGATGATGAATATGGTGGTGGTGTGGTGATGGTGGTGGTGTGATGATGAATATGGTGGTGGTGTGGTGATGGTGGTGATGTTGGTGATGGTGGCGGTGTGGTGATGACGATGTTGGTGATGGAGGTGGTGTGGTGAAGACGATGGTGGTGGTGTGGTGAAGACGATGGTGGTGGTGTGGTGATGGTGATGGTGCTGTGATGGTGATGGTGCAGTGATGACAATGATAGTGGTGGTGTGGTGATGACGATGGTGGTGATGGTGGTGATGTGGTGATGAGGATGGTGGTAGTGTGGTGATGACGATGTTGGTGATGGTGGTGGTGTGGTGATGACGATGGTGGTGGTGTGGTGATGACGATGTTGGTGATGGTGATGGTGATGGTGCGGTGATGACGATGGTGGTGGTGTGGTGATGACGATGTTGGTGATGGTGGTGATGTGGTGATGAGGTGATGTGGTGATGAGGATGGTGGTAGTGTGGTAATGACGATGTTGGTGATGGAGGTGGTGTGGTGATGATGATGTTGGTGATGGTGGTGGTGTGGTGATGACGATGTTGGTGATGGTGATGGTGTGATGATGACGATGTTGGTGATCGTGGTGGTGTAGTGATGACGATGTTGGTGATCGTGGTGGTGTGGTGATGACGATGAAGGTGATGGTGTTAGTGATGATGATAATTGTGATGTTGGCAATACATGTAGTGATGACAATGATGATGACGATGATGGGGGTGGTGATGATAAGAATGATAATGCATTATTGACAGTAATGATGTTGGCAAAAAGGTAAAGGTAGTTATGGTAAATGCTGGTCATCTTTTCTGTGTCAAAAAAGTAATGAGGGAGGTGCTAGCTAAAGTTCCTGTTGGTTTTATAAAACGTTTTTCTGCGTTAATCCTAGGTCATGGCACAACAGGAGGTTCAGAGAAAACAGGGAGTGTCCATTCAGTTGGAGGAGGAGCATCTCAGAACACAGCATGAGGGACTGATGGCAGAGTTAAATGCCCCAACTCAGATGAAGGTATGATACTAGAGTAGTGATGTACTGTGGATATCTAAGCTAGATTTACAATTTCAAGTGTTCATACCTCACAAACTTATAAATGTTATCAGACTGAGGCTTGGACATTGTAAAGCTAAAGGGTGTCAATCCTGGACAAAGTTTTCCTGACATTTCTTTGAATGCTGTTCTTAAAATAATGCATCACTTTCTGAAAATCTGTGTGTATCAATGATTGGATTCAGAACACAGCCATTGGCATTGTGCATCATATCTGTTAACCTTTTTGCTATCCAGCATCATTATTTCATGGCTCCTGGTTGGGAAACGGTGTTAACGCAATTTCAGCTGACATGGGCAATGGCAATTGTTTTGTAACAAATTCAGTTTGGGTACATTCAGGTATTGTGACCTTCATTTCATGTAAAAAATTATTGAAATATTCAATGCATTATTTTAAGAAGAACATTCAAGTATAATTCTCGCTATTGCCAAAACGCCTAGATATAGCCTCTTGGACGTGATTTCAAGCCATTTCCGGGACTTACATACTACCAATGTACAGCATTGTGCATTGCGGTACACGTTGTACACTGGTCTCTATTGTGCATGCTTGATAATAGAGTCCAGGGCTTAACTTTAGAATATCCCACCAAACCGTTGTGTGTCCGTTTGTCGTCTTTTTTAGGATGTTCAAATGAGTTTTCTGAAAAGATGATTGGTACTACAAAATCGGAGAATAGTGTTGAAAAGAGCCATACTAAAGCTTTTAGACTTGCACTCATCAGAGTAAAACGCAAGAATGAAACAGAAAGCCGAAAAATATCAATATAAACAGAAACTAAAAGGAACAAGCTCTGATTGGCTGTCTAAGGTAACAGTAAATTAGGCTTAATGCCAGCTGGTTATATCGGGATAATCGCTAAAATAATACGAGCGTCCGAACAAACTCTTTCTGTCTGCATAGAAGCGGGACGGTCAACTGAATGTGTGTTGCTTCGAGCATGCGCAGATGAGTAAAGTTTCTCGCTCGGCAGAGAACTTTGAACCAAGATGAACAGTATTGTTCAGCGCAATCTTGGTTGTTCAGCAAGTGCTGAGCGATGGCAGAGTTGGCGTTGTCTGCCGTACGGACGTTTCCCTGTTTGCATTACAGCGGTTGAGAACGCGCGCCGGTCTGGCGGTTCCGAATGAAGGAAGGCACATGCTGTTTTACTCGATCTGCCAGTCTCTGAGTTGTACGCCCTATGTACCGAGCTTCACATCGGCATTTGAATTCAATATCACATTGCTAGTTTGCGTAATAGGGAGTACATCTTTACGGACAGACACGAACGTTCTAGTTGTAGTAAATTCCATGCACGGCTCAACAGTCAGAAATTCAACACACACGACTCGCTTGACCCATTTCTCAAACTTTTGGGAAGCTTTCCCTTGCCATGGTAGTTTGAGATACATAGGATATTTGTTAGGCCCAAAGACCGGTGTCTTTGTCTGTTTGTTCAGTTTACGGATGACAAAGCAATCAATCACATAGTCAGGATAGCCGTTTTCGAGCAGGATATCCTTGACTTGAATGATTTCCGCTGCGAGTTTGCATGCAGAGTAAATTCTTTGTGCTCTATCAATGAGGATATTGATGAGACCAATTTTGTACCGGGTAGGACTGAAAGAGTCCCAGCACGTGTACTAACTTGTAAATGTAGGTTTCCGATAGACGGAAGTAGTGAAGCCGTGCGCTGACTTTTCTACCTGTACATCAAGTAACGAAAGAGCGTCATCACATTCAATCTTGATTGTGTATTTGAGAGTCGGGTGGAGGGCATTAAATGAGTTTTCGCACTTGCCCATGAACTCAATCAAAGAAAGTTGATGTTATTATTTCTATGCTGCTACTTTCTCTTGCCCCTCACACATCCAAATATCTTATTCCTTAGTAGTATGTTTAACACTATTTTCATACTTTTTTCGTAATGATCCACTCAAGAAATCGTTTGAAAATTTTGATAAATCACTGTGATTACTTAAGAAAATTAAGTAAACACACGCACACAATCAACACCAGCATGCATGCTGCAGCCCCACAAAATAGACCTGAAGCATCTTGATCAACAAATTGTCCCAGTGTGCATTTGAAATGGGGCCTGCACGTAACCTACAGGTATTTTAAAATATATTGGCGATTGTGAGAATTCACAAAACTTAATCCAAATTTACAATATGAATATCTCAATCTGATATGGGTTATAACTTTTGCATTATTAATTAACAAATGTGTCAATTTAAAAATATTAAAATTCACATAGAGGCTTTTGGGTATTTAACCCATTTGGTATTAATGATTTTATTTTGTTGTAATACATACATGTATTTTTGTTATCTCAGGCTCATTATTCAATGGGTCAAGTACAGCCCTAATGATGTCAATTAGTGAATGAAGTACTTCTGTGACAAATAATTTACTTGTATTCCATTGTGTTTTGACTCTCATGATTACATCTAGCTTGACCATAATAAACATGTCTGTAGGTGCGAGTGATGTACTTGAAATGCCAGTTTATTGGGAGGCTTACAACAGGAACCGATTACTATTCTAGTTCATGATATGTGTGGGATGCCTCTTTTAACTTTGGTAGAATGATTTCAGACGTCTACATGTCGGGTATATTTGTTTTAATTCAGGCTCGTCTGAATGAGATGTTATCCCAGATCCGTCTACAGAGCCACCTGCCATTCAGTCGAAGCAGTGAGCAGTATTCTATAGACTCTGATCTCCAGTATGAAATTAGACAGGTAATTTGAACACTTCTCTCACACCTTTCATTAGATCTGGGAAACACAGTTAGGCTTTACAGAGCCACCTTTCATTAAGTTCTACCAGTGAGCAATATTCAATGGGTTCTTATCTTCAATATAAAATTAGACAAAATCACACTTCTCTCACAATGTTTTTTGAGATCTGGATATAGTATTAAAGGCCATCTGTACTAGTGTGGACAGGAGGGATTAGACCACCCAGCAAGGTCACTGACAGGTGGCTATCTCATAAACTCAGCTCTTAATTAACACAAGAAAAAGAGGATATGGGGGACCACTGGTCACCGATCGGGCATTGTTTCTATATAGAGGGAGCAAGTCGCTACTAGTAGTACAGTGGGGCTTTAAGGCTTCATAGAGCAACCTGCCAATTAGTCATACCAATGAGTAGGAGGCTGGGGCAGTAAATTTGTAAAATCAGGTAGAGCATGGCACTTTTCTTGTTTAATGTGAAAAATGAAAACGTAGCTCTGACTTGGTTAGGAACCTGGTAGGGTTTGGTTTAGGTAACTCGTGTGCACATTAATTAATTGATGTACCATATGAGGGTTCAAGCCTAGAAGGCAACTCCATTATTTATTTTTATTTGTGGTGCCTGCCTTTTCCCATTATCATAAATTTGACTTTAGAAAATAAACAAGTGGTTTACAAATCATTAAAGGTATTATACTGTGTATAGATAGAGAGGGTCTTGAGGTGGCCTTTAACACTTTTCAAATCAAATTAGTCAAGTTAATAAAAAGTTTGAAATTATATAAAGCTATGGTCACAAATCAGAGCAGCGACCGACCGATCAGTAGCCTGCTCGGTCGCTGCTGGAATTAGGCATCGCCCAGCGATTAGCTCGGCGCGTGGGCACCGAGCGTATTTTGGGCGGCGAGTAAAAAGTGAGCAGGCGCCGCCCAAATTTTAACTCCGCGCTAAAACTTCAGCGGCGACCAAGCGATGCCCTAAAAACAAACAGTGCCTGGGGGCCGCTGCTCGGTGGCCGGGCAGACGCCGGGCAGAATTGGTTAGAAACTCGCCGCTCGGCCGCTGAGCAGACTACTTTTGTTTTGAGTAATGTGACCATAGCATAAGATAAAAAAGTTTATGAGGTGGCTTTTAGCACATGTTGAAATTAATGTTCCCTCTCTGTCTCTCTCTCTCTCTCTGTTTCTGACATATTTCTTCAGCATCTGAAGCAGCAGCAGGAAGGCATCAGTCATCTGGTTGGTATCATCAAAGAGGACTTGGAAGATTTGAAACTCATTGAGAGAGGGTTGGAGGAAGCAACCAGTTGATCACACTTTATACCAATGTTGCTGAATTATAATGGACTCTATAATGGATATCTTGACCACTGATCTGGGACAGTGCTTGTGTTGTTCACCGGTGGTATGACACATGTTCTGTTGTCTCTGAAGCAGATCAAGCCTAAGCCTAGAAAGGGCTCTATCAACATTTTCTGGACTACTCGAAACAACCCATACGCTGCTATATGCTATGTACTAACCCTGCACTCAGTCTACCAGAATATCAAGAAACTTTGTGAATTTAGCAGGGCTTAGTGTGAACACACGCTTATGATTAGGTGTCATGTCAATATAATTCTTCAAAATTAGTTTCTTTATCCAACAATTATCCATATGATGTATTTTTTTACTAGTTTGTGCGCTCCTTTTGCTATACCATGATTCTTTATCCTACATTTGTTTACAACTTTTTACAAATTTGCTGTTCCGTAGTCTGAAGAGGCTGTATAGCTCCTCAGCAGGACTGTTGTTTACCCATGGTCCAAGTTGACTGAATTCAAGCCTTGCAGCATCCCAAGTGGTCGTTTGGATCGATATATTACCCCTGTTCGTGGGTTGCATTCATATACGCCCTTTGATTATTTCATGAAGTCACTCGCCCTTTGAAAAGTGTATGCCCAAATTTTGGAATTGTGGAAAATTACGGTTTCCCAATCATTGAAAAAACTGGAACATCATAAGGAAAAAAATCTTGTGGTAAGGGATAGAAAGTTATGGCAAAAAATGTCTCCCAAAGTCATGGAAATTCTTAGGGGAGGTCGAGGTCATCACAAACATGAAATAATCATAATGTGCTACTCTAACCAATATGTAATATCTGGTCATGGAATTTGGTTCTCGGATTTCTGTGGGAACACTGAATTCTACTAGTACTGCCCATCCCAATGGAAACATGACTATACCTCATTGTCCGGCAATTTATACGCTTAAGTGCTTACTCCTGACGACGGATAGTCAACCTGTTTGAAACGTCGAGCCACTCCCGCCACTCATCCTCAGCGCTTGAGGAGTCCTTTTCAGGACTCCTCAATCCTCTCTCTCTCTCTCTCACATGGTGCACCAGCAAGCCTACTGTATAAGTGCTTACTATTGTGTAGACCAGGTTGCAGGCAAGTGTCATGGTGTCTTTTGTATGAACACTATACTAGTGCATTATTCACTTTTGACTACCCTCTGTGTACTCGTAGGCACCAATACTAAGCAGTGGAGTGCCATAGTTCATTTTTTAGGATTCCCTCGTTAGATCATGATACTGAAAGCTGTTTTTTGCTATGGAAAATATTGGAAATCTTTGGAACAATCGAGAGTGATATTAAATGAACTTCTTTTTATGCCTCCGTTACGAAGTAGCCGGAGGCATTATGTTTTCGGGTTGTCCGTCGTACCGTCCGTACGTCCGTCCGTACGTCCCGTTCTCGTGATGGCGTTATCTGAAGAACCGATTGATGGATTCCTGCCAAACTTTAATCATGTATGTATCTTGCAGAGCCGATGAACTGATTAGACTTTGGGGTCACTAGGTCAAAGGTCAAAGGTCACAGGGCTCATTATGTATGCAAAAACAGTTCGTGATCGCGTTATCTGAAGAACCGATCGATGGATTCCTGCCAAACTTAAATCATGTATGTATCTTGCAGAGCCAATGAACTGAGTAGATTCTTGGGTCATGAGGTCAAAGGTCAAAGGGCTCATTATGTATGCAAAATCAGCTCATGATCGCGTTATCTCAAGAACCGATTGATGGATTCCTGCCAAACTTGGTCATGTATGTATCTTGCAGAGCCAATTAACTGAGTAGATTCTTGGGTCATGAGGTCAAAGGTCATGGGCTCATTATGTATGCAAAAATAGCTTGTGAACGCATTCTCATTAGAACTGACAGATGGATTGCTATTTAACTCGGGACATCTTGCAGAGCCAATGAACTGAGTAGATGTTAGGGTCATGAGGTCAAAGATCAAAGGGTCATATATGTATATGAGAAATTGCTTGTAATCACGATATTCTGAGAACCTGTTAATGGATTACAATTGAACTTGAATTTGAAAAATTTCTTCTGTTTTGGTTTGTAAAATTGCTCTATGATGGAGGCATCATTTTGACTGCGCGCAGTCGAAGTTCCATCTAGTTTCCTCAGGGAATGATGGCACTGTAAAAATAATAAGAGCATGATATAAAGATCAATGGAATACATAGAAAACACAGGTGTGAAAGTACCTCACAAAAGTTTATACATGTATATCATATCATTAATTTGTTAATCTTTATTCAAATGTCCAAAACATTTTTTCAAATTATGATTATTGTTATTATGTATTCGGCATTTCAGAACAAAAAAAAGTACATACAACAGATAAAATCAATAACAAAACAATAGACTGATCATGATACAAAACAGGTGAAGAGATTTCAACAAAGCAAACGGGGCTACCTGGGACAAGAAAAGATGAAATGAATTACCATGACCCTCAAATCTTCTGTCCCACACCCTTCAACTCAATCCAAATCCGTACATAAAATCCAAAGGAATAGACAGCAAGCATAAGTTTTTAAAAGTGTGTCAGATTGAAAAGGGTTAGGGCAATATATTGAAAGTTGACATGATATGACTGGAATTTTTAATTGAAATACAAACAAATCTATGCATGTATGATTTAACTTATGGAATCAAGTTATAAACAATAATTGGATTTTTAAAAAATAGAAAAAACATACCAAAGTTGTGTAATGAACATTGCAAAAGTAAGGAATCAGGGACCCGTTTCACAAAGCCTTTTTTCAATGATTAATGACAAAAATCAATGACAAATCTACTGATAACCAATCAGAAGCAAGGATTTTACTAGCTTATAACAAAAACTGTCATTTGTCACTGATGACAAGTTTTGTGAAATGGGGCCCAGGTCTTATTTATAAAATCTGGTCTTATATATTCAGATTCATGTTTGTAGTTCGCAGTGGATGCAATGTCAGAAAGGTAGTTTTTATACAGCTTTATTTTATTCTTCACTTTGAAATTAAAGATGAATTGTGTGATCCCAATGCTGTACTGCCATTAAACACCATGTTTTTGAAGTTCTGTCACAAACTGTTATGCAATGACGATGTTCACACAAGTTTCCCTCCATTTCTAAAAAAGAAAGTGATGGCTCTTGGGTACAATTGACTGGTGCTGGTATTTCTCCCATCAGTTGAAGTGGCGAAGGGTCCTGCTTTCAATATCTGTCCTTGTCCATCCTAAAGGTATAGACTAGTTCTGGTCATGCGATTGCATTGTTAAAGAAACTGGAATTGATCAGAAAAGGTTGATCATCTAGCATATAAGTATTGGTGTGTATACTGCAAGGTTCTGGAATCATCAAAATGATAAGAAATTTGGCCCAGTCTTAATTGGTAAAGTTACAAGCACTGTAAACAGAAAGATGTATATGGCACTACGCGATATCTATCCAGGCCGGATCTACATGTTTATGTTAATTTACCAAATACATCAATTAGTAGGCGGTTTCCCGGCAAAATTTGTACTACGTATTATTCAAAACATATTCTTTCACATGATTGGTAATTAGAGCTTCCATTTCATTTTTTGAGAGGGGGGCTTTCCAAAACTGGTTATACATGTACCTTTAAGCCATTTCATGAACCAGACAAGCAGTTTTTGATCTTTTACCTGAAAACTTTTTCTCCTCCTCATATTTAGAAAATGCTTTCCTCAACAGTGGTCCCATGTGATCAGCCGCAAAAAAGAGGAATATTGTGCTCTGAATGAAATGATGTAAAAAAAAAATCACTCGGCTTGATTTATGCGTAAAATCAAATCCTGCAAAGTTTAAATCCATGATGTAAGTTTGGATGTCGATGCTTTAGACTCAACATTCCCAATGTGAAGTTTTGATTTACTTTGCAGAACGATGTCACTATGGCCACCAAGACTTATTGATATGTCACAGCAGTATACCGTGCAAAATGCATGTTGTTTACTTCTGGCAGATAATGTAATAAAGTAAAGTCTTCTCTGTACTTCTTGTTGTAAAATTGTTCTTTTTTTAACATTTTTTTCCAATCCATTTTTTCTATCCATAGACGTGACGCAAACACTAATCCATTAGAGACATAGATATAATTGTAGCAACTTATTATGAGACTCTCCCTTTACAACATCATTTTTATCCTTTTTGGTATGTTAACCTATTTAACTACATATATTTTGTCAGGCTTGTATATACCCATTTAAGTCATTTTGTCTTCTCAATGAAATTTTTTCAATATCACTCACACACAAACAAATAGCCTTTTGCTACTTGTTTGTTATTTTTTTTCAATTACATCACATTTCAGACCCATTCTTGAACTGACCCTGAAATATGCTGAGGGAATCTGAAATTTCATCTACATTGGGGACAGCTTGTCAATAAATAATAAAACCTTTAAAGGTGTGCTCTGATTTACAGCAACCATTACTCCATGCTATATTTCCTTTAAAAAATGTACAGTTTTTGTCTTTTGTTGTCTTTGTGAAGAGCCTCCTGATTAATTATTTTTATTACCTGTTACAAATAATTGTTTTAGTGCAAATCCATACATTCGTCATTGCTAGATAGGACGGACATTATTGCTTGCCTTACCTTACAACACACAATTTATGTAATTTGCATTCCAACTATTGGAATCAAATCATTTGTAACAGTTGAATGAAATTATTCATAACAGTTGAATGAAATTATTCATAACAGTTGAATGAAATTATTCATAACAGTTGAATGAAATTATTCATAATGAGGGAATTAACTATTAAAGACATGTGCATTACATTTGAATACTGTACATAACAAGAAAACAGCCTATTACCAATCTCCCCAAGACCTCTACTACATATACACTGTACAAAAGTTACCAAGGAGATAACAAAAATAAGCTCATCTCCAATCTTCAATACATTCTACAAAGGAAGTCCTATAGAATTTACTCTATAGTCGACTCTTTACCCTCTTGCCACTTTGATACGTCTGGGGGGTGTTTCACAAAGACTAAGATCGACTTTAAGTTGGACTTAACTGTGGCAGGCCATTCATGCCACTGGTTGCTCTCACCATTGGTCTCTCAATTATGATCTTTAGATAATATTTTTCCTTCAATAATGAACTATTAAAAAATGTAAATTCTGTAGATATGTGACCATGATTTGTACGTCCATTGAGAGACCAATGTCAGTGGTAAATCGTGAGAGAAAACGGTGGCATGAACGGCCGGTCATAGTAAGGTCCAACCCAATCTTAGTCTTTGGAATTGCAACATAGCAAATCACAATGTGTTCTCCATGCAGGAGGGTAGCATACATAGGGTAGGGGGCTGGGGAGACATCATGGATGCAGATAAGCATATATATGCAGTGTTTTCTATTCAATATAACTGGTTTAACCTGTGGACATCCATGAGCAGCTTGACATATCAAACTTGACTCTACCATATTCTTTAATAATCTCTAATCACTGTACAATAGAATTCCTGCAATGCACCTTTTATGTAACTCTATAGTCATGTATAACATTTCATTCTCTTGCCACTTAAAAATATCAGCATTACTACAATACAGGGCAATTAAATCATAGCGTGTTCTCTGTGCTATTGTGTACTGTGTGAGCTCACTCTAGTCTACAGGGTTGGTGGGGAGTGGGAGGGTGACATATTAAATAGAAAACACTGCTTATGATTAATTGCATTTACAGACCAGCACAGTGGCCCAATGTTCTGTATCAATTACTGTTTCATACAGATTGTGAACCTTCTAGACATCCTATCCAAAGAAAATTAGGAAATGTCAGACTTCACATAATTTGACATTCGTCAACTTTACAATTTAAAATTTCTAGTTATAAACAATAACATTTGGAGGTTTTTTTTATTTGATGAAACATCAATGTCCTATTCTAATATGTGAGGTGCCCCTTTTACCTTGTAAAGTGCTCCTCCTTTCTAATAAGTGTCCCCTTTAAAAATAGAGAGCCCCAATCCCTTCTCATAAAGTGCCCCTTTTCATTCTCATAAGTGCCCTTTTTATCTCTGGTAAATGACCCTCTTCAGGTAAGAGAAGATACTCCTTTTCACTTCAGATAAGTACCCCTTCACCTCCGATATTTGTCCCTATTCAAATCTGAGAGATACGCGTTTTACTTTGACAAGTACCCCTCCCCTCCTGAAAAGTGTCTTTGTCACCTCTAATAACTGCCCCTTTTATTTGACACGTGCCCCTTTTCCTTCTAATAAGTGTTTTTTT